AAGTATGTACTTGTGTGTATCACAAAAGATTATAAATTTATTTAATTTATAGGAATAAAGTGATAAAGGATCATGACAAAAGGGGTATGAACTAGAGTTAGAGAAGATCACACAGAGGTACAACTAATTTGGGACAAGAGAAGAAAATATGTTCTAGAGTACCTTCGTCGAGACCGCACTCACATAGGGAGTGATCACGAACTCGAATTTTGACAAGAAAATCTGGGGTACTGACATATCCTAATCGTAAATGAATTATAGTAGAGGTGGCTGACTTACTAACATGTTTTTGTTTGAAGAACCAGGATCTAGAAGGAATTAAGGGTTGAAGAGAGCCGTAAAATTTACCCTTGGTCATTCTACTAATTTGCCATGTATTATTCCAAGACTCAGTCAATGAAAGTTTGGCTAGGGAACGCAGATATCGGGCGAAACAGAATTTGTGTGACGTGCATCCAGTCTGAGGTGCTATTTTGGCGCAGGAGTCCGCAGTTTCATTGCCTGCTATACCTGAATGACTCGGGATCCACGCTAGAACTACTTCAATCTTTTACTATTCATTTATTTGGTGACAACTACATTCTCGATGACATCCTGCCTGTCAAAACAATGCCTTTTCGCTCGACATCCAGTTCGGGTGCGTTCCGAATGTTGTTTTGTAGTAGAATTAAGTGTCTGTAAGACAGAGAATTGTAAGACTTTTTTATCTTTTTAAATTATTATCATTTTTTTTTGTTCTTTTCCGCTCATTGATACGGTTTTTTTTTTCATTTTTTTTGTAATTTTTTGTTTTTTTTTATATGTTCTATGTAGGGATGATCAAATTGACTTCAGATTTATGTGATTTGAGACAGTTACTATAAGGTGTTATTTGACTTAACTAAGTTTTGTGTTTGTGCCCGCTGGTGGGTGGCGTAGAAAAATGATCTACCAACCCCGGCCGATTTATTATTGAGACCAGTAGATTTAGTAGACTTAGTAGATTTTATATATTATATACTTAATTAGTTTATATCAGTACACTGATGGTTGATGATGTGGATGACGTATACTTCTCTGCCAATGAATTTTCAGAGGGTGATAGTTTCGGCTCCTTGACAGAAACTCTGGGTGACCAATTACGGCAAACATTTTCTACTCAATCTCGTCCTCACTGAAATGTCTGCCACATAAACGCGCAGTGTCCCTAGCTACATTGGCGATTAACTGAGACTTTCTCAGACAATGACGTTCATGCCATCCTGATTTCTGAGACCTCAAACCTCACCTTCTTTCCCTTCCCATAAGACGTTACGTAGTTAAGTTACTACTTAATTTCTTATTGATTCTATGGTAAGACAAAATGGTTCTAATTAAAATTTTAATAAAGAACTTGTCGGTATTTTCTTGTTCAACAAAATATTGTCAGAATCAGGAGCAGCGACAATATCGGTGAGCCAATCACTGGCCGAAGTTATGATTTAAGTGTTCTACGTCCATCATACCACCAAAGGGACCCCGGGACTTCGTAATGTAACGAGTCCTGCTAATTTTATTTTGAAAAGTGACAATATTAGGTTCTGTGTGTAGTGTAGTGTGAAACTGAGTGAATTATCAGTCTTTAATTTCATTGGGTTATCGGTATCAACATCCATAATGCCGTGAGTGACCTTCAACAGCCGCGGAATATCCTGCCATGATGTTAATTAATGGGAAACTCTATTAAAACGCATCTTTTGCTTTACGGACAGGTATGGAGTCAATCGTTTATGTATCGTGTTAAAAAAGCAAGTGAAGTGATTAGTAAGTAGGTGATAAGAATGTAAAGTTGGCCGGCTCGTCGCGGCGGCGGCGGCGGCGTCTCTTTGATGTCGCCGACATTGCCGCTGCCGTGTACAGTTCACCGTCTCATGTTATCAATGGTGCTCTAATTCGGAAATTATTTTATTGTATCTAGTTTGTTCTAAATTTGCATTTCTGTATTTTCGTACTATTTTTTTTTTTTTTTTAACCGACGTATATTGAACCGTATTATCCGTTATTTCATTTTTTGTGATATGTATAATAACACCCGTTATAAATGGCATTAAATTCAATCAAAATTCTTTTTATCAAAGATAACGTCATTTTTGAAGTGATAACTTCTTATGGGAGGTAAACCGCTTCGCTACGTAACGCGTTATAGCGCTAGTCTGTCTGGCTTCCCTTTCTCTCACGCATACGGCAGCGGTAGGCAGGCTATTCCTCTCTCACTCTAACCGCTCAGACGCTTTACATAAAATTTAAGGAATAAGCTAAGCTTTTCTTAAGTTACACAGTTTTCTCCTAAATGCAGGCTTAAAAAAATTGTTATCTTACTAATTTCTAATTTAGGCTGCTATATATCTTGTTCCGTCTGATGGTCGCTAAGTTCGTGTGGCACCCACTTATCTAGCTTTTTTATCTTTCCAATTTAACGCAAACGTTTCAATGTTGTTTTGATACTAACGACAAAGCCCGCAACAAGCTCAGCGGCAGATTGAGTTGGATCCGTTTTCACTATAGCCTGTACGTTGTAGACTTTAGTTCGACCAACCGCGAGGTTAGTTCTTCAACTCAAAATTGCCCGATCTAAAACGATTGAACCACGTCGTTAATGTTTCGTGTTTTTGGCGCAGCGATATTTCTCATATTTGCAACAATTTCACAAAATCAAAACAAACAAAAAATCTAAAACAAATGACTGAATTTTTAATTGAAAGACCATGGCTTTCTAATAAAATTTATTCGAATTTCGAATAGCGTGACAATCCACACATAATTAAATCGGAAAATGCCGGTTTTAAAAATCTCCAACTTCATAGGTCTTTTGTCTTCATAGCAAGAAGTTTTGTTCAGGGTGTTACTGATATATTTTGAAGGTAACGTTGAACTAAATAACATAAATATTACTACCTACTACTAAAACTATAGTTTACCTACCTTGGTAGCGACGTATCAAAAACGGGATACTGAAAAAGACTCTTATCGTGCATTTTGCAGGCACGAGCGGTCTTCGCACAACTTCGACTCTACCCTATCCAGGTTACATAGGACATAAAGAGGGGGGGAACTCTCGGTGTTTCGTCGCTACATGGGATTTAATTTCTCAAATGTTTTCGTTCTCGCGAAATAAATGGTTACGTTAATATTCTCGGGCCTTGTTGAGTCAATTATGGTTGTGGCACTTTGCTAAGCTAAGGATTACAAAGTGAAGAATCCATACTAACGCAATTGTTATGAGCTACCGTTGATGGTACTTAATTTTATTTCTGTTAAAACGTAAATTTCAAAGAACCAACCAATATACCAAAAACCAATGTATCCGTATCATCATCATCAACAACCTTTAAAGTCCACAGCTGGACATAGGCCTCTCCTTGGACAGGAGGTTTATGCCCCTGTTTAGACCCTAGTAAATATAATAACAAGCATCTAGAACGCAAAGTAGTTGTATGTAGTTTTTTTTAATTCTCTTTTTATAAGGCGCTCAAGGTGAACCTAGAGTACGGCCGCTGAGTTATTACCGATTTGACACATGACGAATTGACAATACTAGTGAAGTGATTGAACCAGTAACCCTAATATCATTTGGGAACAGTTTGTTTTTAAATATTCTAGTATAGTGTGTAATTAAATAAAATCAAACAAATAATAGTTAAAGACACAGGTTCTTTATTAGGTGGAGTATCCTTGATGGGCGTAGATAATTGGTCGAGGACATATCAAAATAAAACCAAATTTGTAAACACTGTTACACATTTTAATGAATAGAGTAGGTAAAAGATGTTTTAATAAATGACTACCTATCATTTATTAAAACAATTATTCAGACTCTGAACCAAATTCGCCAGAGCTGTCATCGCTATCAGTCACTTGTATGACAATTTCATTGTCTATAATGGTGTCCACTCTTATATCGCGTTCATAATCTTCTGTTATTAGTTTTCGAGTCTTTTCGACGACCTTGACCCAATCTTCTTTCGTTATTTTGCTGCAAGCATCTTTTAATAGACCCCATCATTTTATTAGTACTGAATGGCGGAGTCGTATTATTACTATAATTTTTTATTTTTTATTTTTTATCCATAATCATTTTAATTGTATTTATTTTTTAAATCATAGAAAACAGTATTTCTGTCTTTGGATCACACATAAATCTTAAAAATCATAAGATACTGGCAACACAGTGCAATTAGGAGACGCAAAAAAAATGGTAGCATTATATTTAGTCTAGTTGCTCGAAGGAATAAGTAAAATGAAAATATCCAAATAAAATAAATATCATATCTATTCCAATGAATTCGGACCGAATACTATCAAGCACATCACTATGAAAACTAGACGCACGATGTAACTTTGTACAAGCGCGCCAAAGAAACAAAAAATAAATGTTTTCATATTATTTACAAACTATTTTAAGTTTTGAAACAGAGTTTATTGGAAAATTACTTGATTCTGACATTTTGACATAAAGTTTTATATTAAAGAGGTATTCTAAATCATTCGGCAAATGTGTCGCTCGTGCAAGGTTATATCGATTAATTTAAGAATAATCTGTCAAATCGGTAATAACTCAGCGTTTTATTCCTCTATCATAGATTGTGTTTCTACTGAAATACTTTAATTTCAACTCTGAAATAGTAGGTATATTTATATTATGGTAACTATATTATAAATGAATTTGACGTTTCAATTTCAATTTTGACATGCACTGCCAAGTGCTAAGAGTATGAGTAAATACAAACACTACAAGTTAAATAATTAGAGTTAAATAATTATAATTAAAAAATATTTGACTTTTATGTTCAGTTTTTATATTAAAATATTATATTAAAATGAAAATGAATGAATTTATATTATATTAAAATGAAAATGTCATAAAATGACTCATTTTGTTGTTCATGAAATAACATATAAAAAGGTACTTATAGAAATATAAATTAAATTCATTTGTAATCATACCGCCGACAGTGTAAATGCAAACCAAAACCTATTTTAAAATGTTGTCGAGTACTGCATATTTATTACTAGTAAGTATAGCGACGAAAGTGAAAAGTGATGAAGTTAGTCAGGCTAAATGGAGTGACTTGCAGAATAGTAGTATAAAAATCCCTATAACTGAATACTGTAAGAATAAAACTTGTCTAGTGAAATGTTGTCCTGATGGACGTGTCATGAGCAGTAGTGGAATTGGACCTACATGTGTTCACCTACGAGTAAATTATACTGCGTTTAACAAATATATTCAAGACCATTCATCGAGAGAAGTGAAATTTATTCAAAATGAAATTTTTTCAGACACTAATAAAACTATTACATTAATGGACTCTGACATTTATATTTCAAAGGTAATATTAACTATATTACATATATTTTATATAATGTTACCCCAATATGGGTGTACTCATCTGGCCAGGAAGGACAGCTCTTGAATCTGTTAAAGTAATCTTGAGTTAATTTTTAAACTAATTGGACTGAGCCCCTGGACCGTTAAGAACAATTGTACTATGGAAACCAGACTGCTGATTGCCATACTTATTAAATTTCTAAATAAATACATATTTTAGAAAGATTACACCCAGACACAGAACCAATGATTGTGCTCATTACACAATTATTTGTCCTGGGAGAGAATTAAACCCACAACCTCTGACTTAGCAGTGAGGGAAGCCAACCACTAGACCAATCCCATCACAAACATTGGTTATAACTATATTGTTTCCAATTTCAATATCAACATTAAATAATACCTGTATAGTTTTTACTTTATGGTATATACAATGTATGACATGTACTTCTCCACACATTGATAGGCAGTTTTCCCCAACCAGATTTATTTTATTCTGGTATTAAGCAGTATTCAACCAGTACCAGTAACCAGTAGGCAATTCTTTCATAACTTTTGACTGAGTAAGTCTACAGTAAGGTGCATACCTACATACATACATGACTGTCTCAGTGATGCAATGGTAGCGTATGTGACTACTGTGCTCAGATCTCAGATTCAATTCCCGGGTTGGATTAAATGTTTGTATGATCTGCAAATATTCGTCGGACAAAGGGCAGATGGGAAAATTCTAGAATGTTTATCAGGCAGGTGGCGAGCCAGATGATTTTGACAACATATGCATGATATATTTAAAATATGATTATGTCTGCTGATCCAGATGTTGTGGGTACACTTTCCAACCAGGATAACTTTTGTGTGGTAAGTGAGATTATTGGCATATAGCTGGAGCTTGTGTTGAGCCGAGTCCTCCCTGCAATCGCAGTGATGACAGGCAGGACTTAATTCCCTCCTAGCGACCGAGTGCAGGTGCTTCCCGAAGCAGCCGTGCCCGGAAAGAACCTGCGTCAGTCGGAAGGAAAGTTTTATTTATTTATTATAGAAGCAGTTAACATTGTCTATAAATACTTATACAATTAGTACAATCCAGCTACATGGATGCTTTACACTTATTTAAATAAATAATTTTAATATCTTATAGTAATAGTGTCTGTGGTCATACTCCTTATATAATTTTTTTAACCCATACATGTTAAATTAATTATTTAGTAGTTAGATAGGGATTAGGGGCTCCTAAAAGTTAAGTTGCTAAGTTGTAACCGAGTAGGTTAGCACATTTCAAGGTTAATGAATAGCCGGGTCAGTCTATGGATGGGTAACCCATTTGTGGATGTATTTCTTAACACATTGAGATCCCTCCGCGCCTCCGAGAGCTCGATAAGCAGTGTCGCTCTCGGTTGCCATACGAACATCTGTGGCAATCGTTGCGGATAGTTGGAACTCAAAAAGTGCGACAACAGTCGATTACAGAATTTTGATGCCGCCTAGTACTTGGGTTGTGGCGGTCTGATAGCAGTCGCTGCACTTAAAAAATGGACGTTCAGCCCTGTCGTAGTAGACTGGAAGCCAAACTAAAGGATGATGAGTACTCGGAGGTACAAATGTTATGACGTCCACAGAACAAATTTATTTTAAATATTTTACAGGATGGTTCCTTAAAGTCTCAAAGCTACAACCGAAAAAGCCTTGAATATTGTGTAGATTTCTATTACGAAGGAGATAAGTCTAGTTCAATGTTAGTGTTCAGAATTATACCAGATCCGTTTGACCAACATGCAAATAGACAGGAGTTTTATGTTGCAGCAGGTACGTAGATATTAATTATATAATTAAGCGGCGGTGGCCTAGTGGGTAAGGCATTGGACTTGCCAGCAAGAGGTTGTGGGTTCGAATCCTAACCAGTACTGTACCCGACCGACGTGACGACTCTACCGACGTGAACCCACTCCTTTTTTTTTTTACGTGTGGAATCCCCCTCGGGCACCACTTTCGGGGACATTCTCTATTTAGGTGACGTCCGGGCCACTCGGACGTCGCCCTCTCGCGGCTGGCGTTATGGCGGGTGGAGGGGAAAACCCGTCCCGTCCACCCGCGGCCACACTCAGGGCGGCATGAGGCGGTGATAAGCGCGCCTCCGCCGCTCGGTTTGCCGGCGACGGATTGAGTCCGAGTGGAGGCTGTCCTCCCGGGCCCTCTCCGCCGCCTCCGCGACCGCGACCGCGCTAAGACATCTGTCACTACCGGCCATGGAGCGTATGACGGCCGGTAGCAAGAGATCCCCCCCGATGACTGCAATGAGAACCAGGCAAATTGCCAGCGTGTGCTGAGCCGAGTCCTCCCTGCAATCGCAGTGGTGACAGGCGGGACTCAATTCCCTCCTAGCGACCGAGTGCAGGTACTTCCCAAAGCAGCCATGCCCGGAAAGGACCTGCGTCAGCCGGAAGGAAAGGGTCCCGTGCTGCCGCCCTGCCCACTCGACGATGACCGGCAAAGCCAGCACGTTGAGCCTCCAGCCGGGACGACCAACGAGCCATCGTGGCTCGGCGAGCGGCCTCACGCCACTCGCTTATCTCTTCGGGCGGGGGCCGACTGCCACTATCCGCCCGGAAACCAGCCGTCCGCCGATATACTTCGGCGAGCAATTCCGCCTCCAGGTCCCACTGGGGAGTACCGGCCAACACGCACGCCGCTTCCGTCGAAACGGTGCGGTAACCGCGTATGGCTCTAACCGCCAATATCCTCTGAGGGCGCCAGAGGCGTGCCCTATTCTGAGCGGTCAGAGCCGCCGCCCACACCGGTGCACCATACAGTGCCATTGACCGGACAACCCCCGTGTACAGCCGTCTCGTTGCGACGCTGGGTCCACCCAGATTGGGTAGAAGTCGCCCAAGGGCAGACGCAGCGTCGACCAGCTTTGGAGCAAGCTGTCGGAAGTGCTCGTCGAAGAGCCACCTCCCGTCATATTTCATCTGGGCCCGAACCGGTACGAGGACCGAGTTGACCACGATTGAGGCGCCGGGGGGTGGACCACGATGGGGCCCATGGAATAAGAGGGCCTCCGTCTTGTACAGGGCCACCCGTAAGCCCAGCGCCTCAATTCGCCCGACCACCAGAGAGACTCCCCTGGTGGCCAAGCGCGCTGCCTCTTGAAAGTTCGCCCCCCGGGCTGTGACCAATGTATCATCGGCGTAACAAATTACACCCAGCCCAAGGGGAAACTCAACTCGAAGGGCCCAGTCGTACCCTATGTTCCACAGGAGGGGTCCAAGAACAGACCCCTGTGGAACACCGCACGACATGGGCTGACACCTCAGATTACCATCTCAGTCCTCGTACACGACGGTACGCTCCTCTAAATAGTCTGCCACTAGCCGTCTCAGGTACTTGGGCACCCCATGAAAGTGTAGTTCTTCCTTGATGCAGCTAGACTATTGAATGCGTTGGCGATGTCCAATGACACCATCAACAGCACGCCGCCACAGCTCACCGCCTCTTCGGTCACTGCCCTCAGGCGTAGCACAGCGCCCACCGTCGAAACGAATTGGGCGTCCGACAGGTCGGGGCCCACCTCGTAGAGGTGGCGGACGATGCCGGCAGAGAGTACCCTCTCAAATAATTTACCCGCCTCGTCCAGCAACAGAATGGGCCTGTTGGCCGCGACCGAAGAAAACGTCCGGACACCAAGCTAGCGTCGAACACCTCCCTGAGGCGGTCTGCCATGTGGTGAAGGGCTAGGGCCAGTACTCGGGTCGGTATCTCGTCTGGCCCAGGGGCGGTGTTCTTGGAACGGATCCGTAGAACAGCCGCCCCTACCTCCGAATCCCGAACGGGCGGAGCATCATCCACGGGGGTGTGTGTTCCACCCGTTGCGGGAATAGGCCCTCCACCACTTCCTGCAGGAAGCTGGGCTGGAGAGTCTCCGTAAGAGGGGGGGCGACGCGCGGAGCTTTTGTCGCACCGTGCGATAAGGGCGACCCCAGGGGTCACGATCGAGACCCTCCAGCATCTCCTTTCTCTTTATCTCTTTGGCGCGGCTAATGGCCAGCTTCAGAGTTTTCCGCGCCTCTCGGTACTACGTGAACTCACTCCTAACACAAGCAATTTAGCTTAGCTGGATGGGTTAACGGGAGTACTAGTAAAAAAATATATTTTACAACTCATTTTTACTGAAGTATGAACTGTTTCCTATTTCAAAAATAATAAAATTCAACCTCTAGAAATATAAACGTATTTCTTTATTTAAACGAAAATAATCGGCCCCGCTAGCCATAAAAGCGAATTTTTGTCTATCGCGTCACAACTATTTTTATTGCAGTAATCCCACAAACGTGAGACAGTTCACAAACCAAAATTATTGCGTTTATTGTTATAGAGTTTAGTAGTACATTTCGATGGTTTAGAATTATTTTTTAAGAATGACATATATTAATAGTGAATTGTAAAAACCTTTTATAAACCAATCGTAAAGCTGTCTGCAAACTAAACTAAAAAAAAAAACAAAATGCTTAACTTAGTTAAATGTTCATCGTCTTCGTAAACATACAGGGTACAGAGGCCTCCCACTATAAAAAAACAAACAACGACATCGCGTCGAACATCATTATAATACTGAAGTACAGAGGGTTTTTGTTTTGTTGACGGGTTTGAAAATCCCTTCGGATCTCCTGCTCCTGAGAAACTCAGGAGCCAGGAGTGTGTGATGATTCCACTAAAAACCACTCCGACGGCCGGCCTCAGGTACTCTGGTAGGACCCGGACCATGTTATTTCAGGTCCTCCTCGAATTGACACCATGCCTAATCAGGCCCTATCCCAGGGGAAATCACTCCCCCCCCCACTCTCTGGCAGCCCGCGGCTTCGTCGACGGCTGGTATCGGTAACGGTAACAGTGTCGCGAGTTCAGTAGTTTTTTCCAATAAAATACATTATTTTCTTTGGTGGCCAAAAATGCCCAACGCGCCTAAAGAAGTTTTCATTTAAAAATTGCTTCACACCGCTTTTCTGTGAGGCCTCCCGTCACTCCCGTCGAGCCGGCCTATTTATGCCGAAGCATGTCTCTCATCCCATCCGTGTGGTGACGGATTAAGAATACGTAATGTCGCCACCCCTATTCTTCCCGTGGGTGTCGTAAAAGTCGACTTAGGGAGAAAACTACGCAAGACAACAGCACTGCAAAGAGAAGGAAAACTTGAAACAAACCCTATACCAACCCGTCTGGCCAGCGAGGTATAGTAGGCCAAAACCTCCTTTCAGAGGAGAGGCCTATGTCCAGTAGTGGACTATCATAGGCTGTTGATGTGATGATGATGATGATGATGTCTCTCCTACGGTGAATTATTAGAAATCAGTGTTTCGCCATCATAAGGCCTTGCGTCAGCCTTCCAAAACGCTCACATGCCTCGTATTCACACCTTCGGGTAATGGGTATGTGCAAGGCTCCTCCTAACTCTTTTTTTTTATTACAGCAATTTTGATCTCATCTCTTTTAACGCTGTTCATGACGTTAATGTACGCCGTGCTTCCAAGACTGCAACACCTGACAGGCATGATGTTCACGACGTCATTAATTTCTCTACTAGTTGGTTTCGTTATAAAATTGATAACACTTATTTATACTACTCTTGATATAACACTTGGTGATACTGCAAGTAAGGATCTTTGTATATTGTACTTACTGTTTTCTAATTATTAATTTTTTCCTAGGGTTTTGATATCTTTGTTCTTCCTAGGAGTAGATTTCTAGCAATTTTTGGATAAATTATTTTGATATGTAAAATAAGGTTTTGGATAAAAAAACGCATCAAACCTTTCTTTCACTCATACATGTGGTTTGGTGATAAACTTTCTACCTATGATTGTTTGTTTTGCATAGTTTGTGAATAATAATAACCCCACACATCTCACACACGGCGGTCTGATCTCAAACTAAACCGACCCTGTACTATGGTAGCCAAACTGCTGATAAACATACTTATATATTTCTAAATACATACATATTATAGATAAATTACACCCATACAGAGAATAAATGATCGTGCTCATCACACAATTATTTGTCTGCCTACCTCTGGCTTCGCAGTCAGTATCATTAACCACTAGACCAACTTTAGCTGATTTCTTTATTTCGATCTATCCAAACTTGTAAATTATTTACTTAGTTTTTTTTTGCAGGTCTAACAGTCTACTACTTTCTTTTATCCTGTTGCTGTTGGTTAAGTTTGACGCCGTATGACTTATGGTTTACTTTAAGGTATGTTTATTATCTATAGCTTGCATGGTTGTTTATTCGAAAAAATCATTACTATATATATTATTTACATTGCACTATTAATATTCATTTTGCGTGTACTGTGGTGCCGGATTAAGAATCCAGAATGAATTAACCCCGTGGGTGTAGTAAGGTAGTAAGAGCGGACTAAGGGAGCAAACTTTGCGGGACAACAGCACTGCAAAGAGGAGGAAATACTTGAATTAAACCCTTTTTTTTACGTGTAAAAACCTCCTCGGGCCGTCGACTCGCCAGGGTTTGCGGCGGTGTGGTGTGTCGGAATCGGGCTCGGACAAAAACCACACGGTTTGCCACTGCGCCTGAAATAGGAGGGATCCGGGAAATACTGATATTAAGACATCCGGACACCTGCCCGTAAAACGCGGGCAGGTGGCAGGTATCTATTTAGACGACGTACGGCACACACGGACGTAGCCTCCTCGCGGCTGGCGCACATAGCGACACCCGAGGCCATGCTCAGGGTGTGACCGTGGGTGCCGCCCTGAGTGTGGCCCTACGCGCCTTCGCCGCCCGGTTTGCCGACGACGAATTGGGTCCGAGTGGAGGTTGTCCTCCCGGATCCTCTGCGCCGCCTCCTTCTTCGAGATGACGTCTTCGCAGAAGGACGCGACCGCGGTAAAACATCTGTCACTACCGGCCATGAAGCGTATGACGGCCGGTAGCGAGAGGTCCCCTTTTTTTTTCCGTGCGGAAATCCCCTCGGATACCACCTGTCGGTGGCATGTCGGACTCGAACCGACTAAAACCGCACGCCGTCTCGGGTACTAATAGCCGGGGAACCAGGTATACCCTAGAAAGGAAGTCCCTGGTGCCCCGACATACCTCGGGTCATCTACAGACGAGTAGACGACCCCCCCCCCCCCCGTGTGGGGGAGCTTCCAGGGAGCACAGGGAACCCCATGTTCCCTGTGCTCCCTGGAAGCGAACACGCTTCGCAACGCGCTCGCCGCCACCCCGGCCTGCTTCTGCTAGGGTGACAGATGGCCTCACCTGTCAGCGAGAGGTCCCCTCCGATGATTGCAATAGGAACCCGGCGCTGCGACGCCCAGCCCCGGCAAATTGCACCCGTGTGCTGAGCCGAATCCTCCGGTTACCGGCTGGAGCATCTCCACCGTGCCAAAGCCAGCACGTGGAACCTCCAGCTGGGACGACCATTGTGGCTCGGCGAGCGGCTTCACGCCACTCGCGTACCTCTTCGGGCGGGGACTGACTGCCACTATTATCCCGGAACTCAGCTGTCTGCCGATATACTTCGGCGAGCACTTACGCTTCCAAATCCCACGGGGAAGTACCGGCCAAAGTGCACGTCGCCTCCGTCGAAACGGTGCGGAAACCGGGTATGTCTCTAACCGCCAATAACCTCTGAGGGCGCTAGAGGCGTGCTCTATTTTGGACGGTCAGAGCCGTCGCCCACACCGTGCGCCGTACAGTGTCATTGATCGAGCAACCCCCGTGTACAGCCGTCTTCTCGCGACGCTGGGTCCACCGAAATTGGGTAAAACTGGACCAAGAGCAGACGCAGCGCCGACTAGCTTTGGAGCGACTGGCCCAGTACTTGGCACAGTAGGCCAAAACCTCCTTTCTAAGGAGGGTCCTATGTCCAGCAGTGGACTATTAAAGGACTATTAAAGGATGATGATTGTTTTTGGGATAATTTGTCGTTTTTGAATTCACCTAACTTTTATCCCTCTGACTGGATTTCCTTCTGCACGTTTCTTGTTTTTATAATTTTTCCTCTATATCTCAGGTTGTAATTGAGATACGCGATACGTTTTGGTTAAAGAACACTTCCTGGTACGAGTTTTTTCATTTGAGCTTTAGGCCATTTAAATGTTTTTGCAAGTTTGAAGGCAGCTAGGTGTGAACTGGTGAACATTTCAATATTAATAATTATTTCACATATCCCATACATGGCTGTCTGATCCCAAACTTGGCAGAGCTTGTACTGGCTCGACTACTGATAAAACATACATATATATTTTTAAATACATACGTAATATAGGCGTATTCACAAGGGCGATCAAATGAATCAAACGAATTCACAAGGGCGGCTGACTGTACACTAACTCTTAATTGTAAATAATAATCTGCATATTTGTCTATTAATTTTTTATTTATAACCGTTTGTGGCTGTTTAAAGTAATACTACGCTATTGTATTAGATAATATATCTGTAATAATTAAAATAGTTGTATGCATGTAAAAATAAATAAACAGATACATTACACTCAGCCACAGAACAAACGATCATGTTCATCACACAATATTTGTCTTGGATAGGAATCGAACCCACGACCTCTGACTAAGCAGTCAGGGTCACTAGCCACTAGACAAACAGGCTAAATTAAACTTAATTCGGAGTCTCTTGTCTGTATTATTGTTTAATAACTTTTTTACAGGCATAGCCGCCGCCCTGCTCGCTTTGGATGGGTACGTCGTCGCCCTCATCGGGAGGCACTACTGAAAATGATTTGGGCCTGTTCATATGGATGGGGGGTACCTGCGCTATTGACATTATATAAAACTATTAATGATAAACAAACTCAGTACAACAATGTGTCCTACAAACCTCTCTTTGAAAACCATGCGTACGGTTAGTATCACCACCTTGGAGATGTGCTGAGACTTACATATAATAGGGAATGTGCATGTTTTCTTTTTTTAACGATTTTATATATTGTATATAAATATTACGTATATACAAAAACTACAGTTTCATGTGATTTAAATGCTGTCGTTCTAACCAACTTTTTCTGTGACGTGAAAAGCTGGTATTTGATTCATTTATTGATTATTATGAAAGTAAATGTTATAAAACCAACTTATTACTACTATATTTATTACTATTGAATAATTTAGATAAGCTTTTTTTTTAAAATCTGTTCTTATTTTATAAAATTTCACCATAAATATATGTGACAAAGTGTATGTTTTTTATATTCCTCAACATACGAATGTTGGGTTTGTTAGCGGAGCAAGGAGTCTGGTTGGACATTACGTTTCGTTCATTCAATCCTTAAAAAAAATTGGCAAGTAGTTTTAAGATGTCAACTATTTTAAATCTATATGTATAAAAATGCTAAGTTGGTTTGTGTGCGCTTCTAAAACTCAAAAAGTTCTACACCAATTAAGCTCAGATTTTGGCACGATACACAAACCGCTTGAAAGATGACTTTGTCTTGTTTTGTTCTTCATTTCACATGAATGAAACCACAATGTGCCACAGCAAAGCGTGGCATTGTATATCTAGTTACTTATATCTATAAAAAAATAAAATTCTAACTTACTACCTTTAGCACTTAAATGTTTCTCTGCCGAGATGTGAATTAATAAATTACTAATTGAATATATAGTTAAGATTTCATTATTGGCTATTTTCAAGGGAAAGAAGAGAAAATAAGATTTAAAAAATATATATATATATACATATCCTGACAGTTTTAATACACTTTTTTTTAGGTATGCACGAAGCTGTTATATGATCGATGTGCGCTGAACCGTCGGTGGAGTACAGTCAAGACTTCCATTACGAAATGGACGAAAATGTTATTGAAGCAAATAAAAGTAAACTTTTATATAGAAGATCTATTTTACTAAAGTACTGTAATGTACTGTTTATTATTCCTTCTACTTTTTTAAAGTCAAAAAAATCCTTATCGTCCTTTAGTTTTCCCTGTAAACACGAGAGTAAAGCTATGAGCCAAAAGGCACCTTCCAACTCATAACTATAGAGGTCAATCCTCTGAAGTTTAAAACATAGGTAACTAAATATAATTAAGTAGGCACTGTACTTTTAGTACAACAGGAAGAAGACGAAAAAAACGCTGAACATTTTCGATATGATCTACAATTGTAATTCTCTCATACAAATTAACAAAAACACTACAAATGGCAACACACAGAATGGCTGACAAGATACAGACAGTTTTATTACTAAAGTTAGTTTCGTTGGCATAAAAGACTAGTAAAGAAAAAATATCATTAATTAAAATATGACTTAATATTGGAATTGGTCGGACTATTTCGATATAATTTTAAACTTAATTTCTACATACATTAATTTACATTAACAATAACCATCCCAAGTAGACTTGTTTTTGTACGACATAAATCTACATTAAATTTGCTATTTTAACTAGATACTACAATAAGATTATATTAGTTTTTGAATTCACAAATTTGCTTTCGAAATACAATTTTAAAATATTTTATAACTAAAGTACAAAGTAGTTACTTAAGAAAGATTCTGATGGTGATCCTGATATAGGTACGACATATAAATAAAAAAAACAGTAGGTGACATACCTACTTATTTTTAACATATTTATAAAATAATTATTTCAACACTTAATAGTAAACGTTGTCTTATCTTCAAGAAAGTGCTCTCATGTAAATAGGTATTCACTCTTTCAAATCACCTTCATAACAATAACCAATATAAGAGTGGTAGATACTGTCAACTATTTCTGTCCTAAGACTAACAAATATCGTAGATTCCTAGGTTTTTTTCGTCCTGATAATTGAATGTAACATCTTAAATTACAGCCTGATTTGATCCATATTATTATCAATTTAAAGTTTTATTCTCTTCGAGTCATCAATGGTTTGAGAATAGGTAGGAATGACGTCGGGTTATAGTATTCCGTACAAAAAATGTACATCGTGTATCGTTTTGACGTTTAATAAAAAGATGTTACTTTGACTCGGCAGTCATCTGGCGTAGATGACTGATTGTAGAGAATACCTACACATTAAACTCGATGTTAACTTAGTAGGCATGAAGTCACATGATTTATATTATAACGCAAACATTGATAAGTCATTATTATAAATTAATACTTTATCTTGATTTGTTGATTGTGTAACTTCTCAACAACAGACTGGATCAGCTTATTTCTACATAATTAACAAGATACCTCTAAAGTTTTAGCATACCGCTAGACACACTTAAAAATATTTTTGGTTTTAACATTCATAGGCTTCTCATTGAACCCTAGTAACCGTTAAATCCTTTTGGATTTGCACATATTTGAAGCGTAGTGGTTTCTGGATTGGAATCAGAACTCGTACTGGAATAACTCCGGGATCCAGCAACAGAACCTGGATAAAACCGTCTTGGGTGCAACGCGTAACTGTTGGAAGATGAAAATGATGTTTAAGTATACGTGTAAGTATGTCAAGGTAAAAATGCGCTAGTTAAAATTAAGAAATTAAACCACCCAAAGATGGGAAAATTTACCTTAATTCAAGACTTAAATCTCTTTGCTTGATGTCTTCAAAATTTTCATGTCTTTGTTGCATTGGTATATTGTATTTCTTTACGCTATAGTCATCTGTATATGACGGATGTTTGCTATGGGGTAAAGAATTTCTCATATGATCGGGTTACCATATGTAGGTAATCATGGAAAATTTAAACATCTTTTTTATTTAGTTTCGGCCCAGCAATGTGATCCATGCTTAAGCATCGTTAATAACTAAACGTATAGTGTGTGACATTAATAATTACAGAATAAAAATGTTAAAATAAAAAACGTACCGTTTGTAAAGTTTTCTGTATATATCCTTCTTGCACACAAATATGAGGAATATTAGAAAGCCAATAAGTATATTGTAGACGTCAGATATGTACCATCCTTTGAATCCAGGGAATTTAAAGCTTATAATTTCAAACACCCAGTTTACTCCCATCACTACTGATAACTTCAAATACACCATCAGCCTGTGGACATAAAACTTTTGTAAGTCGTATTCATGTGTAACAAAAACGTGAGTTTATGTATGACTAGCTTTTGCCGGCGGCTCCGCCCGCATATGTGTCGGTTTTCGCGTTAAAAATTATCCTGTTACTCGCTAATGTAGCTATATAGCTATGTAGTATAATGTAGCTTTTCATTGGTGAAATTATTTTTAAATTGGTTAAGTGGTTTAGGCGCGAAAACGTAACAAACAAGCAATTCATACAAACTCACTTTGACATTTATAATCTAAGTACCTATGTATTCGTACCTATTTATAAAGGACTAGCTGCACCCGCCACGCTTCGTAATACATGGCACATTATGGCAACAAATCATTGCGGAAAATAGATAAGAACTATCTTTGAGGCAGGATGTATATTGTGTCAGAATTTGAGCTCAATCGGTGCACAGAAGTGTTTGAGTTTTTGAAGCGTACACAAACTAACTTAACTACCTGCTCACGTGTGCATTTTGTAATGGACCCGACTAGTTTCAAAACTGACTGTTTCGAGTGGTGAAACGACCTTGCGTCAGTGTCAGACGCACGAGAATTTTATTATAAGTGGACACATATCAATTTTAATTTTATTAATTTCCAATTTTTATGTATTTATATTACGGTTCTAAGATAAATCCGAATCAAAAATTCCACACGGTACATCTATAGAACGTTCAATTCTAATTTACCTATTAAGAAAACAATAGCCACTCATTTATCAATAATGATTGTTAGAAACAGACCTGTTTCTCTGAGAACGGTGTGCTGCAGGTGTACCAGCAGCAGCAGAATCTAGCACGGCAGTCCCACGACTCAAGCGCCACACGTTGAAAGCCGTCATCAGATAGAACATCCAGTTACACACGATCAGAATCAGCATTGGTATATATAGGTACAGCATTTTATTTCCACCTGCGTACAATGTTATACTTTAATTATATTTCAAAAGCTTCATTGACAAACAACTTTACAGCACTTCAACTCTTTTTTTAAACTGAGTGTTCATCTCAATTTCTAGAATCAACGTATCTTATTGATTAATTACAACTCTGTGTATTTTTAGATTTTTTTTCTTTTTTCTCTAAATTAGCTGCTACAGCGATATTTGGAGTTAGGCAACAACCTACTCCACAATAGACTGGTTTGTTAATTTACTAAGTTATCGGTTTGCATTATAAAGTATGATACTATTGATACAGGATCAGAAGAACCTTTGTATATTTTAATGATAAAAATACTGACCTTCTAGGAAACAACCCATTCCTGGCACATTGGGAGTGATGAACCAAGGCATGTGAGACATGTCAATGGTATTAACTACGAAAATGAAGATAGTCATGAGCAATGGAACACCCCAAGCGTACAAACAGTACATGAGAAACTTGAAACTTTCACCACGGCGATGAATGGGACGTGCTTTAGCGTAACCCCTGAAAAATAAATACAATTATTTCAAAAATATTATGTAAAACAGAATTACTAATCGGATTAAATAAAAAACACCACAATAAATCTACTTAAATTAGAGATAGGCTCGATTATATTTCAAATTTTTTTACTATTAAGTGGCCAGGTTATCCTGTGATAGCCTTAAAGTGCAATGACACCCAAAAAATTCAACTGTAGTCTGCAAATTAAAAGCAAAACTTGTAACACGTTACAGGTTTTCGGAACAGAACACATTTATTTTACCTGAAGGTCCACCAGATGTCGTAAGACATGACACTCATCCAACAGAAACTCGCCAAGAAAAAGTAATAGATACCCATGGCTGGAAAAAAAAATTGTAATAAAAGGAATATTAGTAGCCGAAACTATGTCAAGGTAAGGTTGTACCTAGATCAGGTTTTTCACATTTCCTTTCTTTTTTATAATTAGGTACAACGTAGAAGTATATGCGAAAAATCAGTTATGCCACTACATCATAAATTACCAAAATCTGATGATAATCTATAAACCCAGGAGTAAAAGCTTCTCAAAATAAGAAGGAAAACTGTCCAATTTACACACACAACAACAACACACACAATAGATGTGATGTACATTTTGACCGTGCCAGTCCGGTATCAGTATTGGACATACTTATATAAGGAGAAACTTAACTAACTCTCATTTGCGTGAAATGGGGTGCCTATTGCATTCAACAGCCTCTTTGATAATCCGATAAAAAATTAGCATTAAATTAAATGGCAAAGAAAAAAGAAAAGCAGGGAGGATTTTTACGAGCGATATCATTCTGCAAATGGTCCCGTCCAATTAACTAAAATCAATTAAAATTGAATTAAATTCATTAAATTAATTGCAAAGTCATGAAACAGTAGGTACAAAGTTTTAACTTACTTAAGCCGATGCATGCGTTGTCTTCATATCTATCTAATTGGATAGTCGCAAGTAGTAAAAAGGCCATGAACAGACTGCCCACATACGCCATTAAGATCATGCCACATAAGTTTTGAAGTTCAGGCAGCAGGAAATATACCACCAGTACTAACAACAAGAAAAAACAGGACACCAACGTAGCTGAAACAAATAAAATGAAAATAAATTAACCTAAAATAAAGAACATAAAAAAAATCACTAAGTTCAATCCTATATCATTATGAATCGTAAAAAACTGGATCCCTCATTCCTTAATTGTCCACCAGTAGTGGTTGGCTCGGTATTTTTGCTTTAAATTTAAAGGATTTTGCGAAAGTATAAACAATATTTTTTCTAAATCAGTTCATAAAGGACATAGGTCTGAAGTAACAAACATAACAATACATAAAAAAAAACTAAATTAAGAATTTCCACCTGATATCGAAGTTGTTTAAGAATAAGTTAAACTTAATGTAATTTTCTTTTATTAATAATTCATCAAATAATTTCAAAAATAACACTCGGTTTCTAGTTTTTCTTTTTTGTATTTGTAAATATTTCAGATATAAGTATAAAACACCCACACCAATGCAAATATATAATATATTTTATTTACTTATTTAATCGAACCCCCAAGTCGACTCTTGCATCCCATAAATTGTGGGAGAAAAGATTTCTTGAACCATTTCATTATTCGTATTCGTAATTTGGACAAATCAAATTTCTAAAATCTACGTATTGTACCTACAGGACCTACTTCAAAGTTACTTCGTCTATACTGCATTTCGTAAGCATATAAAAGACTCTTTTAGGTAATAATCTAAATGTAAATTGTATAAAACAAATGAGTACGTACCCAGATCGTACTTAACCAAAGATCATCTTTTAATGTAGGTACAAATATTGTTAAGTGTGTGTGTTTTTCGCTTAAAGATTAATTTCTTACGACAGATACCTTTCTGTTAGGTGAAAGTTATAATAGTAATAATAATAATACATAGTTATATTTTTGGACATTAACACACAACGCCATCTAGTTTCCACCTAAGCAGAGCTTGTACTTTGAAAGCTAGATTGACTAATAGATGATACGATAGACTGATACTTATATACCTATTTCTTTTTTTAAATACAAAAAAACACATTAAACATAGAAAACACCCAAACTTCGAAACAAATATTTGCAGATCATACTAACATTTGGTCCGACCCGGGAATTGAACCCGAGACCTCAACACAGTAGTGGCATACGCTACCACTACATCACCGAGGCAGTTCTTTAAACAATAATTATAATTACAGAATTGCTTTACTACACTTAAAAGATAAAGCAAAAAATATTTTGCAATGAAATGAAGAAGTTCGTGAAAGAGGATGACAATGGATTAAGAAGTATTAAAGAAGAAAACTCATTGCACCGACTCCAAATAAATTTGGGAAAAGTGTAATAAGATAATACTGGATTGTTACCTTTAGTAAGTACCTACCTACCTAACCTACCTAGTAACATTAGGAATGGTTTATTCCATACTTGATTTCGCAACTGAGCAGCTATATGTAGAAATTACGTTCAACTTCAGTGACCAATAATAAACTTTGCGTCTGGTTAGTGGGACTAATTAATAACAAATTTAATTATTGTTTTCTTATCGCTCGGAGACCGCAAGAAATATTTTATGTGTACAGTCTGGCAGCAGAATAAATGAATATTGCTTTTATTCCAAAGCTTTTTAAGTCAAACAATTAAGCATTACAATCTATATCCATAAGTATGTCGTGAAAACTTTTATTTTAAACAATTTCAAAACAGAATTACTTATCCCTGCATTTTATAACGAAACACTACCTTGAAATTCAAAATGAATAAAAATGAAACATTTGATTCTACAAAAGAAGATCAGTATGTTTTGAACCAAGCACAACTTGTAGCAGGGATCAACATATAGCAAGCACCCTTTTCAATAAAATAATTATGTAGAAATTATTGTGTGGTGTGATATACTCGTATGTGTATGTGGTGACTAAGAATAAAGGGGTCTATTCATCCCGTGGGTGTCCCAAGAGACAACTGCGGAATCAAGGCCAAAACCTTTCTAAGGAGAGGTTTATGTCCAACGAGTGGACTACTATGACCTGTTCATGATTGATAGTAATGTTAGAAATGATTCGTAGAAACAACAGAATATAAACATATTCAGAAAGTTAATTTATTTACTTTTGCTTTTTTCTTACCGGCAGTTAAACTAATATCGCTTTCAGGATATTCTTCCCCTTCAACAATAGCCCAAATCTTTGGTGTATTTATCAATTTTCCCTTTTTTGTTATGAAGTAGTCTACGCAGAAGTAATCTCTCTGAACTGTAATCCAACGGTGATATGAGTTTGGAGCCTCTAGAATTAACTCACCAGTCTGAAACAAAGTAATACATAGTTATTCATGAAAACAAACATGCAGAAAAACGGTTGCACGTCATTACTTATGCTTAGGTTACTCACGTGTTACGAAAGTACCAGTACCTACGTACTGTACTAGCGATATACCGGAACGTTGAAAATGTATGTACATGCCATAATACGGTACGGGTACGAATAATAAGTATCTAAATTCATTCTAAACCTCCTTTCTAAGGAGAGGCCTATGTCCAGCAGTGGACTAGTATAGGCTGTTGATGTGATGTGATGTGAAATTCATACGGATACATACGGACTTAAAGTTTTAGTTAATGCACGTCACTTTGCAACGACAGTTGATGTTGAAGATGAAATAACACGACGGTTTTTGACTTGCGCTGTGCATGTTTTTATAAATAACTAGCTAGTACCCGCGACTTCGTTCGCATGAAATTACCAAGAACGCGGCTGCAGTCCATGAGAACTGTCGATTCCCAGACCAGGCAAAATTTTATAGGGCTATCCTGAGAGAAAAAATAGCCTTAGTTACTCCTTATATAGACAGTGACCCGGTAATAAAATATTTTCAAAATTGGTCCAGCTGTATTGAAGATTATCCGGAACAAACAGACAGACCAAACATATTTAAACTGGTTTTTAGGCATAGGTATCGTGCAAATCGCCGTGCCGAGCGTAAAAAAATCCTATTATTTTGACATTACAAACAGACACTTCAATTTTATTTATTTGTATTTATTTTAATTTACGTGCCAAATATTTGGGTTTTGATGCCGTTAAAAAGAGAGACAAATAGTATCTTGAGTTGCTAATATTGTATTATTATATAAGAAACTCACTACCTTAACATTTATATAATTATTTGATTTTGTTAAATAAATGTCAAAGAAATTTTAAGAGATCTTTTACCGTTTAAGATCAGCCAGCAAGAAATGGATACAATAAAAATAAAATAAAATAACAATTTGTGGATCACACAAAGCGTTGAGGGGATCGAACCCCGAAGTGGTGGCGAGGCGACCGCTTAAACCACTACGCTACCCGTCCATTCACTTGTTTTTTAAATTTCTCTGACCATCAACAGCTATTAACAACAGTATACCTATCCGGATTCGTCTTAACTAATATTATAAAAATGAATGTGCGTCTGTTTATTACGCTTGCACTCCTTATCGACCAAACCGATCTTCATAAAATTGTGCATGTACGTTGTCCTTGTGTGTTATCCTTAAAAATAAGAATAAAAATAACAAATTAACATATCTCACTCACGGCAGTTTGGCCCAAACTAGGCAGAGCCTGTACAACTAACAATCTCTTCAAAACATACTTATATTTTGAAAATTACTGGATAGCGGTTGATATGGTATAATGAACTATAATAATAATAACCTCACACATATCACACTCGGCCGTCTGGTGCCAAACTAGGCAGAGCCTGTGCTATAGTAACCAGACTGGTCATAAACATACTTCATCATCATTAGCCTATCGCAGTCCACTGCTGGACATAGGCCTCTCCCATTGCACACCACTTAGATCGATTTTCGGCTTCTCGCATCCAGCTCCTGCCAGCCATCTTGCGCAAATCGTCACTCCACTTATATATTTCTAAATACATATATATTATAGATAAATGACACCCAGACCCAGAACAAATGATCTTGCTCATCCCACAATATTTGGCCTCGGTGGGGCTCAAACCCACGAGCTCCAGCTCACTAACCACTAGACCGACAGGCCCGAATATCGTCCCTAATTCAAATATCTACATATATTAAAGTGCGCGAAACCTTGGCGTGTTATTGAATTGCGTGTTATTGACATCGATAATGACTTTTGATTGTTGTCAGTGGCTAAAAATATACTTATCATGAATAACCCACATAAATTAGTGATAGCGGAGCGGAAAATGGTTAGATAGGCACGGCACAAAACTAACCTTCTACAAAAAAAAACCTGATGCTACTATTAACTTTAAACATAGAACAACCTGTACTTTTACCAGATTGCTGCAAAACATTAAAAGAAGAAAGAAAGATTAAGTAAAGATCTCGGAGTCTAAATGTTTTAAATGACTTAAAAACTTCACTTTTCTGGTCACCAAGGACATACTGCCCCGCTACTACTAACTATTTTCCTTATTTGCCACGCGTTACTTGTATTGTTTTAGATTTTTAAAAAAAATCTTACATAATTGGAACATAATTGTTTACATGAGAGACTGTCTATAGACCTTTTTTCCACTGTAGGTCTCTACTATCTACTAATCAGAGACGCAAAAAAAAATTGGCTGAACCCAGAGAGGATATTATATTAAATTTTTAAGCTGTCTAATAACTTCTTTATAAGTACACGCGAACTTTTACATACTAACAATTCATTAGTACAACATACCTTTATAAATAACTAGCTTTCGCCCGTGGCTCCACCCGAGTGTCGGTTATCGCGGTAAAAAGAAGCCTATGTCCTTTATCAAGAATCAGTTCAGCGGTGATTGAATCCTCCTACAAACTTCAGGGGTGAAAAGAGGGAGATTGAAAAGAGGGGTGCCTCTTTTCACCCTCTTAAAGCGTGATTTCTGGAATACAAGCTATCTTATGTCCTTTCCCGGCACTCAAACTACGAGTAACATAAAATTTAGTATGCAGAGGGTTTCACGGGCGATTAATCGATCTAGCTGGGTTTCATTTTTGGAAAATTTAACAAAAAATAAATACCAAGTTAAGCTCGGTCATCCAGGTACTTCAGTAATAATGAAATGATACTAAATTAAATGATATTTTTTTTCTGTAAGTGGATCTTTTCATAATTTTTTACAAGGCGGTTTTTACAAGTCAATGTTGCTTAATATTGAACATTCAATATCAAATGTAAATGAATAAAATGACTTTTTTACATTTAATAAAATAAGAAACTTGGTACAGAATTGGCCTGCTGTTTTAAAATACTGTGGACATTGTGAGGACGACCTAACTGTTGCATGTGCGTACGTCTTTATCGTTCGTATATTGTGGTTAATTAACAGCACTTCAAATGAGGTAATTTTATTTATATTTATTTATAAGTATTATATTGAGAATAGTAAGAAAATAACGTCAACACCAACTATATTGTGATACAAATTAATGTTAGGCTGTGTGTATTAGAATAAGTAAACCGTTTGAATACAATGTTACTCAAACTTAATCACGAAAATATTTGTAAGGTCTATAATATTTTAGTCGCATGACGTTACGTCAGATGTTATCAAGGTATATTTTTTCTGACCTAATATATAAGAAATTTATAAGTCAGAAATCTTGACAATAATATGACTTAATTGGTATATTACATTATTGCAAAGAGAAGGAAAACTTGACACAAACCCTATACTAACCCGTCTGGCCAGCGTGGTATAGCAGGCCAAAACCTCCTTTCTAAGGAGAGGCCTGTGTCCAGCAGTGGATTATTAATGGCTGTTTACGCCGCTACGCTGTGACCTGACGTGATTTTATTAAATTGTTGGCCGAGTCAACCTCATCTCTAAGAAAATTTAGAAACTATTTTAACCACCATCCATAAAAGGAATTTGATTTGAAATTTTGAATTCACCTGTATTTTTTATGTTTGTTAACTCAGAACTCCTTCATTTAAGAACTAATTTTAAATTGTGAAGAAATTTAAAAGGTAAACTGCCCGGTTGGTTCCATTAATTTGAAGAAAATATTGAACCCTTAGGTTGGAAAATGAGAAATGAAGAATACAGTTTAATAGAGTTCAATATGATGTGATCGCATTAAAGTTGGCTTAACATTTTTTAGTTAATAAGTCTTATTTTATTTATTATTTATTTTATTTAAAACTTTATGCACATATAGTATAAAAGCGGGATTAATGCCATGAGGAATTCTCTACTAGTCGACCTCCAGGTGACGTAGAAATATGATGCAGAAGGTGCAAGATAAATTATTAAATTAATTTTATAAAGTTTGTCAAATGAGAGATACGCCTACATTAAACCTATAGGTATACATAAATACATTGCTACATAAAGAGACCTATTTCTTAGCGTACCATGGATTCACCTTGCGGGTGCCGGGTTCATTGCGTGATAGATGGGGGCAACACATGCGACTTCGACAGCGCCTGGGAATTGCGACCCAGGTATAGGTTTAGAGAGTACTCCTTGCGACGCGTCAGCGCTCACCTCCACTGTCTGCTGTGTTACCCCCTCTACCGAACCATATTTGATACGAGCCTAACAATACCGCTTTGGATATTCGTTCAAGAAAAGAGCTTACCGAAGCTCTTGGCAATCCAAGGTCTTTAAGCATGTTATAGAGAGATTTAGCTAGTATACTCCTTTCAGCCACTTCCACGGCATACAACGCAACGACTTAACCATTTTTAGTTGGGTTAAGTCAAAGTACTTGTTTATTTTTAAAGCGTGGTCTGTAGGAATGTTTGTTTCCCACGGCACCGTAAGTTCTACTAGTACTACACGCTTAATTGAAATTGCATAAAGAAATAGGTCTGGTCTGGTCGGTAAATTAATAGCTTCGCCTATGATTTGTAATACCCTGTCATGGCGACGGGAATAATGACTCCGGTCTAATAGTGCCTTATAAGCTGTCAGTAAGTGCCTGGTTGTAACTATTTCCGCACTGCACATCGTACAAGCCTTTTCTGTAACTTTCCACCCCTTACTAGGTTGCTTTGATCGGGGAGAGTCAATTGAAAGGCGTTAAAGTAAAATTTTAACAGGGCAGGTGACCAATCGTATAAAAGTGTGCGCCATTTCAAAGGTGGCGGGATACAAAATTCTCCTAGAGTTAACCATTCATTCTGCATTTCTAGGTTCGTGCACAAGGTGCGTGCACGCAATGCAACTTATATTTTTGCATAAAAGTCCAGAAGTATACACAAAACATACGCAATATATAAACATACACATGAGTTTAATATATAATACACAGTAGGGGTATTAGCTTTGTGACTTTTCTGCCAATTCATTCCGAAGAAGTTAGCGTACTTTTGTCTTGAATGTAAGGCAGTTTGTGGACAGCCTGACTTCGGCAGGGAGTGTATTCCAGCAACTGGCAACTGGCTGCACGTAGAAAGAAGAATTGATAAAGTTGGAGGGGTGAGGAGGGCAAGAAGGAATCATATTGTTTGTTATATGTTGTTTATTGCAGTATTATCTAGAATAAAAAATCTGTCTCAATGGTTTAATCCATTAATTTAATTTTTCTGATGAATTATAACTTAACACCAGAACGCCAGAACCTGTACTATGGTAACCAGACTGCTGTCAAATACTTAACAAATGATCGTACTCATCACACAATGATTTGTCCTGGGTGAGAATCAAACCCACGACCTCTGGCTCAGCATGATCTACCACCACTAGATCTACCGACCAGTTAATAATAATATATTGTTATATAAGTTATTAGTATTTTCCAGGATAAAGATGTTGTAGTATGGAATTATTACATAAACATTTGTATTTGCTATTGTTATAATAATTATTATCAATTAACACTTCCTTTTTCTAAGTTTATATCCCTGTTTTTGATTGACATGCTCTCAGAAGGTCAATTCTTGTGATAAAAGTTTGGTCTCAATTCAGCTCCGATCAACTTTCAATCTCACAACTGACATAAAAGTTATTTTCGTAGTAAATTATCAAACATCCAACGTTGACTGTAATGCGATCATATCATATTGTAACTAAACATTGAATCGGTAATCTGCTAGTCTTAGTAATACTTTAATATTTTATTACGAAATAACCTTGTGTGTGTGAAATGACAGTTGTGAGGTCGAAAGTTGATCGGAACTGAATTCTGACCGAACTTTTATTACGAGAATAAATTGGCCTTCAGAATGCACTTAGAATACAGAGGCTCTCCCTCTTTATTCGACAAGAAACTTAAATAAATAAATACTCGTTGTGGCATTCTACTTCATTAATTAGTTTTATTTATTTAGTTTTTGTAATACACAGTTTCGCTCTTATTACAATTAACAACAGTATACGAGAACCAATTTTATTATTACGATCTAAATTTAAGTCAACTTCTTAAACTCAAAAGAGAAGCTAAAAACTTACCTTTATAATATAAGGATTGAATTCAATTTGATACACGTTCACAGCTGAATCTTGGAACTCTTCTTTACTCTTGTATATCTCTGGTACAATATGAAACATATCCGGCACTCTCTTGCCTATATCTACAATGTTCTCATCATATACAATGAACGTAGAGAAATTAGAACCTGCATCACAAGGAACGCATTGCCTCAGTCGAATACATTCACCATGAGAACAACACTTGTATATACAATTTGGGCCAGAGCAAGGAACAAAAGGTACATTATCGTCTTCCATTCCTTCTCCAGGATAGTCAGTTGCTTCGATATCTGTGTCATTATTTAGCGTGCCCCCTATTGGTATCGAACATGTTAACAACACCGTACCAAATAATATCACCGCGCGTTCCATGGCCACGTCTTGCTGACTCTAACTACAAATTAATATAGTATATAAACCACTATTCAGTTAAGTTTGTAGTAACCGCGTGGGATCGATCACGTTCATCCCGAAAGGTCGTAAGTGACAAAAATATACCTACTAAAACTAATTTTAGTTAACACGTTCAAATATAGAATAAAACACTGAATGGGATAGTCCGCGTTGGTGTTTTTTTTAACTGCTATCATGAAAAAGTTACGTTACTTTATAATTTTTGACTTAATTACAGGTTAATTGTTAAATCAAGTACTGAAATTAAATGATTTGACAATAGCAAGGTGAGACGTAAAGATTTCTTATTTCGTTTAGAACTTTTGAAATTGTTAGACATGTTCTGTCTTGTGTATATTTTGTGTATTTGATTTGTTTAGTATTTATGAAATATTTTTAGTACCTATAAATATTTTTTTTTACTAACTTCTCATCACTATTTCTTTTCTATTAATAGATAAGTCACCAGATCACAGTCCTATGTAATCATGCTGTGCATACAGAGTTTCACCACCGCTTTTTACTAAGTTCCAATTTGTGTACCTAAATAAATAAATGAAATCCACCCCAACGAGTACCTTAGCTTGATCTTACTACTATAAGTATGTAAGACATGAAAAATATTTGATGTGTTGATGTCTGGACGTCTGCTACTCAACCACGCCAGCACAGCCGGAATAATCTTTGGCGCGGAGATAGGTTATAGTCTGGAATAGCACGTTGGCTTCAGACTTTTAATACCGGAAAAATTGATTGATCCGTGGCCCAGTACCTATTGTGTTGGAGGAACATAAAACTCGTTTCTGTAGTGTTGATCCCGACTTGATTGGAAGTAGCCTTCTCAAAGTAGATCAGTATCAGCGTCATCGCCACCACCTTATAGACGTATCGTCGTATAGATTTGAGACAACAGAACAATAGGAAATTATCTAAAGCATGTTATACACAAGTTCTGTTAATAAAATCACCAGTTAATATATATTAAAAACACCAGTTATACATTTAAATGACGCTAGCAAATTTATTAAAAATATATTTACAAAAATAAATACCTATAGACCTTTAAACTTCTTGTCTAAATTTTCCTCGATTGGGATACTGTGAATTTTAAACTACTACAAGTATTGTGTCACGTCTAGAGCGCCATTTGATGTTTGATTTATACAACATGATGTTATTTATTATTTTAAAGTATAAATATTAATATAAAGTGAGTAATTTCGATTTTGAGACCTGAATTTGAACTTTATTTACTTCGAGTATTGTAGAAAATGTATTATTCGATGATTTCATCAATTTTAAATTTGAATACACAAAGTAATAATACAATTACCACAATATATTATAGAAAAAATGTGTCGTGTTTCTACAGTAGTTCATTAAAAAAATTTACACAGCAATGTGATTCCTATTGTTGCAAAAACTCATTTTTTATCGTATACCTCCCTTTTTTTTTTTTTTTTTTAAAAAGACAACTCCCGCAGTAGGAATACATTCCTGTGTCGCGGGGGACTTTACAAACATATATGAAACGGACACAAAGAACACCCAGACTCAGAACAACAAATTGTGGATCACACAAAGTGTCGTTCCATGTGGGGTTTGAACCCACAACACTCGGCGCAGTAGGAAGCGGCGTGGCGACCGCTTAAACCACTACGCCATCCGTGCAGTCAAAAAGAAATCAGAACATTAATGAAAACACTCAAACAACAATAAACAGTTTTTATTGAGATATGACCAAGCTATATTTATCAAATAAGTATTTAACTTAAATGCTATATTCGTTGCAATATGAATTGTGTTGTCAATATTATTAGATTTTAATTTTTCCGCCTCTATATTAAGGATAGCCAGATTGTTGCATGTCGCTGGAAGACGTTGGATGCGGGCAGCTCAGGACCGGTTGTTGTAGCAAACTTTGAGGAAAGCCCACAGATGATGTCTGGCTTAGATGATGATGATGATATAAATAATCACTACAAACGTAAATAACTACTTTCTTCAACGAACTATACAGGCGCTCCTCGCGACACGCTGACTCGTGCACATGTCATTGGCTTGGGCTTCGTTTCCTTGGCACATATACATTCAAATGACATCCTTTCAATCTAGAGCCTTTCAATATGCGTTTCTAAAGATAAATAAATAATAAATCTAAACCCCAAATTAAATATTGTGAACTCATCGCGTTCAATGAAATGTGGCAACTATAGGTAATATTAAATCCTTATTTGACCACTGAGCTCTTTTTTTGTAATCTTAAAAATGAAAACCAAAAACTCCTTTCTAAAGAGAGTCCCATGTCCATCAGTGGACTGAAAGGCTGTTGATAATGATGATTGATGAATAATCTTAAAAATCAACTTCTTCCCGTAAAACTATTCGCACAACAAAAGACGTAAACTGGTTTCCATGAATTGCCTCATTTAATATCTCGTACCAGGAAATACGATGTTCAGGGTACATTCCTTATCTCGCCCCACTGTACGACCAAATTAAACGAAATACGTTAGTGCCAAGTTGTACCTATTTTCTGAGATTTAAAAATACATTTTATTGGAGTGGTTTTGCAGTTGCTTTTATTTTAAAACAAAACATAATATTTGTCTAAATACTGTAATATATAGGGACACAGAAATACCAATGCCTTAGATTTGGGTAAGTACTTACATAAACTTCTTTTTGACATGTTAGACATCTATATTATTTCGCAATTTTTATAACTTAATACTTGTAGAAATGTATATCAGTCACTCAGTATAAATATACGAGTATAACCTCATCATCATCTTTTATATCCTACAATAATGTAGTACTAATTATTTATTTGAGAAAGATGATTGGGTAGAATTTTTATATCAAAATGTAAGGTAAGGACTCACAGTCACATAGACTTTAATAATCGAACGAAAATATCGTTCACCTCGTTTTCTTCACTACGATCTTAAAAATAATAAGAGATATTTATTTATAAATATGGTTACAATAGTTCCACTTTACAATTATCATCGTAATGTTACCGCGTTTCTCAATAATAAATAGTCACGTCTCGTATTATATATTAATTAATTCTCCGTATCTAGTTGTTTATTTGTCTTTCTAACAAATATTAAATATTCTGTTAAGTTACATTGAATGACGCACATAAATAATATTGTTATAATAATAAGTGGACTCCACCTCGTAAAATAACTACTAAAAGCATAGGTAAAGTAGACCATACAGGAAGAGAACGTACTTAAAGGAAGTTTATAAAATAACTCTCGTAACTCAGGCAATAATAAACTGCAGGTTTTTAGAATTAAAACGTTTTTTCAAAACTATTTTAACAATAAATATTTTTTAACACAGTTTACTCTTTACCTAGGAGTGGGAGTCTTGCTTCGGTACAATTGGACCAGCTCGACCAGGGTGATACCACGGCCTCACAGTAAACGGCTAAGAAGTAATTATTTCGTTAGATACGCTCAACGAGTGGTGGTGGTGGACACTACATAGCCCCGAATCTGCCCCGGGCGGCAGTTCAGAGGGCTCCAAAATCATAATCTAATGCTGTTTAAAATAAAAAAAAACGTTATTGGGTAAAAGGTTTTTTTTATAAGAACCAATACATTGTTATGTCCCTATCACGAAAAATGCCAACCATTATATATTTGTGAGTTTCTTTTAAATTATTTATCTCAAACGCTAGAGATAGTGGCGCTATTATTAAGTTTCTGCGCCGCCGCGCCGATTCGATAAAATCGATCCGATGTTCCATAGCATACTCATAGTATACACAACTGCACTTAAATATTTTATTTAAATGTCGTTTAAAATTCTTTGAAGTCAAGTGAAGAAGCGAACAATCAAAGTCTATGATCAACAAATAAAATATATTTATTGTCTTTACAACAGTATAAACAAATCAGAATCAAATGCTGCAACTAATGTACATGCCCTTAAAAGGCAGAATTTAAACATATACCAGAATGTAAGTATATGATGATAAAGTTCACGAAAATGACTCTATGTATTACATAGTAAGTATCTAATTAGGAGAATTTGTAAATGCAACACGTCATTGGCTAATACCACAGAACAAAATACTATTACTGACTTCGTTTAGGAACGTGTTATTTACCAGACGTGGTTAGATTTAAGAAGTATTCAAGTAAAATCAGTTTCCTAATAAAAGGAGTCGGTTAAATTTGAGTCTAGATAGCTTATATTCATCTTGGGAATCGAAGATGTTAACCTGAAATAATTTCTGACAAACTTAACATTACTGTTTCCAAAAGTATATGTCACTGGCAATTTTCCAAACGCAAAATCAAATTTAAGTTTTTAAACGCAAAAAAAAAGTTATATGTGATGTAACAACAAATTAATGATTCATCTGTCATCGTTCTGTCCGTTTTACTAATTTATTTATTTTAAGCAATGACACAATCTTCTTAGGCCGATCCAAGAAGCACGCGCAAATAGTTTGCTATTGACGTAGTATCGCACAGTCTACTTAAGCAACAGGCTTGTTTAAAACTATTTGTCATCAAAGAAGCCCTAAAAGCGAATTTTAAGTAACAAAAAATATACGTAAGAAACGCTTAGATAATATTAAAATTTATTTTCTTCACCCTCGGATCCTCAGGCTGAGTAGGTACAGAAGCCACGATACGACCCTTTTACACAGTACGATGTTAATTAAACAAAACTCTGTCAGAGTGATGGAATCATATTTGCATTAAGCTCTTTTTGAGTTACTAAATGGATTCACAATTACCGGATGTATATAAATAAACAGTTGAGAACATATTTTCCCTGTTTTATACAAATTCTTTGTTGAAAAGTAATTGAAAAGCATTAGTTATCAATGAAAACATTGACAATAAACCTCAAACAACATGTTTTATTTCTTAAAATAAAAAACTTAACAAAAATTATGAGTAAATTCCAAAAATACAAAACCCGGATGAAGTTGTTTCGTACCTAATGTCTTTATTTATTTCCCATACATACATAAATACATGTCACGACGGTAAATGACTGTCGCCGCTCATCCTGCAACTATTGAATCACAAGTGCATTGCTGGCTTTTAAGTTTAAAGGTTATCCGGAAATACCCTAGGTGACAATTTGCTCCATAGATAGGTTCTGCTTTGTGTGTCTCAACGTATCCTGTACGTAAACTTTGCTGACTTCTATTTCGCAAACAGGCATATAAGGGCACTAATATCAATCTTATTCTAGAAAATTATTTTGGTCTCTTCATTCTAAATATTCTTTTCAATCCATCAGTCTTTTCTGTAACGCGAATATATTATTTGCGAGTGTTGACATACGTGTTCAAAGACTGCCTGACATCTTCAAATAGTAAACTTTTCTTTCTGTAAACAAATAAATTACTTTTTGAGAGTTCAATAAATAGTCAATTATTGATAACCACGTATGCGTTTCGAGCAAACATTTTAATTTCAACGTTTTGATATCATGTAGATATATCAAGAATTATCATGATTATCATGATAATGACACAGGAAATGCTTTTCGTACAAAAAAATAAACGACGGGTTGCACTCCGGGAGTGCCGGCAGAAGTGAAAACTTGAATATTAATGTTGTGCATTGTTTGATATTTTGGAATGGTTAGGGAATAATTTTGCACGAATTGCTTAAATTATCAGTATAAAAGTACTATCATTTATGTGGTAGAATACAATATTTATTTATTGCGCTATCGTACACAAACATGACAATTTATCGAGACGCTGTCACCATCCATGGATGCGCGCGGCACGCTGTAACATAAACACACACGAACATTCGCGCAAGCGCCCTGCGCCGCCTAAACGCAGGCGCAGGCATACATTTTCTTACGTTATCATCGTCTTACGAATTTTCGATCAGGTCACGTGTCCTGACGCGAGTTTAACATTTTTTACCCATTACAAAAAAAGTGTACAACGCCGCTAAAGAAGGTTCACTTCAAAAATATTTTTTTCTGGTTAACTCACTCAATCATCTCACCAGAATGTAATGCATTAAGGTATTAATGACCACTGGAAGCTGCATAAATAGCTGATGTGACGACATTTGTCTGTATTGCTTTGGTGCCAAGTATTGGCATTATACTGCTTGATGCTGCTTAACATATTTCTGTTTTCTTCAAGTTGTATTGTACTACACATTTTTCTTTTACAACAGTTTCTTTAAAGTTAAAGTTTTTTTAGTTTTTGTAGAATAAAAGGCTGCAAAATTGAGTATAAGTATTCTGTTTTAACGAAAATGGAGTGTTTTGGAATACAATTTATATCATACTCGTATACAGCAGCGCATATATAGCGATAAGAGATAAGAATTACAGATTATAAGATAAGAAATAAGAATTACAGATTTTAATATCAAATCTTACTGGATATTGCAGGAGTTAAAGTGGATATAAATCATGATGCAAGTGGTCCTTTTACGGTTAAAGAGGTTTCGTATATAATAATGTTGTATGTTCATCTATAATTTCAAAATACCTATAGGTTTTTTCTCGTTTACAAAAAATAATTAAAGTGACTAATACAATAATAGAAACAATTTTTTTTTATAATACTTATTATATATTATTGATGCGTTTACTCCCAAATGGCTTTGAAAAGCTATGAGGCATAGTTACTATGCCAATGTCTGAAGATCTAGTTTATACCTTTCAGGTCACTGAGCGTAAACAATATTTCTGAAACTAATGCCGCAAAATGAATGAGCTCCGTTTATATTGCTGGAAAAGTTATATTATGTGGTTGACTCATGTTACCCCGGGCGGCGTTCGTTCATCGAACCGCCTTCGGTCTGATATTAATTTAATGATAAAAAAAGAGCACTAGCTAAAATGCAAAATGATGATGATGTATTTTTAGGTTTAAATTTTGCAATAACATGTGGAATATTAACTGAATACCTGGATAAACTTAAGTGAAATATATAAATGGTATCTGTTGGGAACACCCAAATACTCCGAAATATTTTTCGATGTTCCGATTAGCAAAAGTCCGAATTTCATAATACCTAAGAATTATAATGTCTAATATTAAAATTTACGAAATTTATCTTACCGAATGTCGTAAATGCGATTTGTTTATTCTCTGGTTTTTATAATTTCTTAGAATCAAATGCTCGATGGGTTCTCAGTACGAAAAAATGAAATTCCGATTTTCAATACGATCGAATCGAATCAATTGCTAAAATTAGAATTGTAATTCTGATTCAGTTACTTAATATAATATTCAGTCACACATATATATTCAAAATCTATAAGTAACGTTTAATATAATTTAAAAACGTCTACTTTGCTTCTGTTACTGTGTATTTTTTGTGTTTTTTTCTTCTCCTTATACCTACGTCGCGTATCATCTACTGTTAATATTTTTTTGGGTTAGGTTAGAACAGTGGAGATTAACGCCAGATATTCTGTGTTACTGGTGAATCATTTGTGTTAGGTTAGGTTAGAACTGCGACCATTAAGATCAGATCCGCTCTGTTGTTGGTGACTGATGAGTTTCAGATGTTTCGATCTACTGAAACACGGTATTTTGAGCATTGAGATTAGTAAAGTTTCAGGGAAGGTTTCAGCAGTAGGTCTAAGTAAACATAGCTGTAGCTTATCATCTAGCCAAATACCTAAAATAACATGAGAATATCGAAAAATACCTTAAGCTGTCTACAGAGACAGCTTAAGGTATTAGCATAAACGAAAAACTTTACGTTTATGCTGGCGACATGTCCTACCTATAAACAATCTTGGTATCAATTTTTTGTCCTTTAATATACTATAACTAAGGACTTGCATTAAAAATATCGGTTTACTCATGCTACATATAAAACATCTCTATGTGCACTTTCAGGTAGAAACAAATATAAACACTTTCATAGACCTCATAATCCGGCCCTGTCGTAAAACGAATAAACTACCGCCCTTCCTACATAAAGAATAAATAAAGAAGGTTACTAGGGCTAAGGACATAATACTACGAATCTCACATGGGGAAAAGGACTTCGACTGCAGTAACTCGTAGAACCGAGGTTGCTAACCCACGTCTTCGTTCTGTAATCCCTAAATTACAGAGGCTACTAGGCTGGGAACACAAACTGACCATTACTGTGTCTGATTACATTATAATTAATTATATTTTTAAGGAGACGAGAAAACAAGCGTGAAATAGTATCATAGTCCAGTCAAATTAGTCCTTAAAATAGAAGTAAGGTTACAAAAATTCCCATTAAAGCTAAAAATTAGTATGAATGTTCAGAATACCTTTATAAATGAATTGTGAAAAGTCCCCATCAATCCCCCTTGTGCAAAATTTTTTATTGACTGTGAAAGTTTGCAAAAATAGGTTTTTCAGCTAAACGGTGAGTTTTACAGCAAAAATAGTTCACACAAAAATTGTAGATCATCCGATTCTTTACAAAAAATGCATCCACACTTTTTTTTCATAAGTATTGCCATTTCCGTGATATAGCGGTTGAAAGAATTGAAAAAGTATTTTATTCGTAATATGCACGTTAATGTACTTTTATATACATTTTTCAACCGTTATACAAGTAAACATATTATGAGTCCCTATGTCTTGTACATACAAATTATAAAATTCTTAGAATATAAATGAACGTCAAAAACGCCGCCCCTTTTTTCGTTTAGTCGCATGGCCTTGAGTAACATCTGTCTTCCATTCTTCATTTTCTTATAATAGTATTCTGAACATTCATACCAATTTTTAGCTCTATAGGAATTTTTGTAACCTTCAAAGTCTTATTTGACTGGACTATCAGTAAATGTACCTCTTCTGTTCTGTTTTGGGGTCCATCGAGACGTTCGATTTTATCTGTGAATCATCTTTGGACTGATGTGAGAATATACAAGAAGATGTTCTAGTATTGGTGGTCTCAGTTCTGGACATCTTTTTACCCGTCAACATTTGATATCTGAAAATAATATAATGTTTGAAGCATTTTAAAAGCATTTATGTAACATTTGATGTCGATTTTCTCTAACCTAAATCTAAGCCTCGGGAATAATATTTCTACGTGTGTCTACACGCATATCCTTTCCTGTACCTCTTACAGTTAGTGCTAACAGTATACAGTGTACAGTGTTGTTTACATTCGTATTTATAATAATTTAGTATTTATCGCTTTTAACATTACAATGTTGCATTCTTAGTCACACAATGACTCCAATATAATAATATTTAATATAACACAGCAACTTGGTTTTTAAGTTATAAGCTTACCTACTGTGTGTACACAGGAAAGCAATGGCAAAGTAAACCTCGTCGGGTTTTTCATTGTTCACTTTATATTATCAGTACCTACTGAAAATTTTGGTATATACATAGATACGTACACTTAGTGTAGAAGTGTGAATAAACTATTACTTAAGTGTAAAATGGGGCAGTCATATCACAGTCTGCGATCTTTTACAGACAATCTAAAGATATTTGTGTAAAAAATCTGTTTTAGTATTTTTTTTTTCTTTTTTAAAAAGACAACTCCCGCACTAGGAATAAATCCTGTGTTGCGGGGGACTTTACAAACATACATGAAACGGACACAAAGTACACCCAGACTCAGAACAACAATTTGTGGATCACACAAAGTGTTATCCACCCAATGTGGGGTTTGAACCCACAACACTCGGCGCAATAGAAAGCGGCGTGGCGACCGCTTAAACCACTACGCTATCCGTGCAGTATATGGGGTCTACCAAGAACGTCCTGGTTTAAAAATTGATTAAAACACTATTTTTTTTATGAAAAATGCATCCGATTAATTTATTTGATAGATAATTTTATGCAATTTATGTTTTAAATAATATATCGGCCAAATGACCGCCGCGGCTCTTTTTGCAGACGGTCAACCGCTCACGCCAATTTTCGATGACGCGGTGCACCATTTCGGCCGGTATGTCGGATATGGCTCGTCGAATGTTGGTTTTTAGGTCACGAATTGTAGCTGGATTATTGCTGTACACTTTAGATTTAACGTAACCTCAAAGAAAATAGTCTAAAGGTGTTAAATCACACGATCTTGATGGCCAACTGATCGGTCCATTTCTCGAAATTAACGACTCACCAAACTTTCCACGCAATAATTCCATGTTCACTCCAGTAATGTGAGGTGATGCACCGTCTTGTTGAAAATAAAGGTCGTCTGCATCAATATAATTCAAATTCCGGCAAGAAATATTCGGTTAACATCGAGTTATAGCGCTCGCCATTCACAGTAACAGGGTTTCCTTCGTCACTTTCAAAGAAGTACGGACCAATGATTCCACCGTACCATAAACCGCACCAAACTGTTATTTTTTGCGGATGCAATGGTGATTCATGAACCATTGTCGCTATTGGAGTGAGTCAAATCCACGTGATTTGACTCACTCCAATAGCGACAATTTTGTTTATTAACAAATCCATTGAGCCAGAAATGGGCCTCATCTGAGAAGATGATTTTACGATGAAAATCGTCATCGGCTTCCATCATTTCCAGTGCATAATCAGCAAATTCACGACGGATACAATTTCGGATGGCTTCAACGCTTGTGCCAAAACAATTTTGTATGGGTGTAGGCCCAAATCCAACCGCAAAATACGCCAGGTGGTCATTGGAGAGAGCCCCAACTCTTGTAAACGGCGTTGAAATGATCGATTTGAATTCGCAACAACACTGGCCTGAACGGCTGCGATATTTTCTTCACTACTTGCATTTCTTTGTCTCACAGGCACAGCAGTATCGTGGAGAGTGAATTCACTTTAAAATTTTGTTATTTTGCGATTTATAGCGCGCACAGAAGGAGCACTATGACGACCGCTTTTTGCGCGAAGCGCTCTTACTGTAGCGGTAGGAGAACGCGAATTTGCGTAATAACTTTGGACAATTTCCAAGCGTTGGTTTAAAGTGAAACGTAACATGATAAAATAGCAAACCTTACTGAACACAAATGTCAAGAGACGTCAAAGATCCATCATCAAACATGGCCGCTATGAGCTGTCAAAACCAGGTCATCCCTATTGGTAGACCCAGTACTTCAAGAGGTTACTAAAAAGTTGCTAGTTATACATACTCAAGCCATATATTTTTGTTAACATTAATTATAAGAAGATCGACGTCGATAGATCGATATCAATTTGTTTGTGGGTGTGTGAGTGTGTGTGTGTGTGTGTGTGTGAACTATTCCTACAGACTGAGGTGTTGATCATAGAACTACGTTTAGACATAGTAGTAGTAACACACGGCAGTTCATCAGATCAACATCAATCACCATTTCATTAAATACTCCCACCTATCAATTCAATATTCCTTGAGGTTTTTTACGCATTTTTTACACTGACTATAAAAAAGATGTTCTGTATACACCCCGTATGTATGACATGCATACGTACGGAATGTATACAGAACATCTTTTGTATTATTTTGTCATACGTGTGCTTGTAGATCCACCATATCAGGAAGATCGTCTTGATTATACAGTTTTGTACTACTACTGTTCTAAAGCAACCCAGCTGTCCTCACAGCAGTCCTAAAAAATGAAGAAAAAAGACGAAATATTTACTGCCTTTGTTTAAATTGTTTGAAAATAGTATTTTTCGTTTTTTCTTCCTTCTTTTTTATTCTTTATGAATAAATAACCAATATACTAACTTTTAAAGTTTTCGTTTCGGATGTCATGATATATAGCTGTACCCTGCCACGCTTCGCTGTGGCACATTGTGGCTGCGTTGATGTGAAATGAGGAGCAAAACTGATGCAAAAAATAGATAAAAACAATCTTTGAAGTGGTTTGTATATTGTGACTAAATTTGAGCTCAATCGGTGAACAACTTCTCGAGTTTTTGAAGCGTAGGTACGCAAACCAATTTAACATTTTTATATATTTAAGATTACAGCCAGTGGCGACGGATTACATTATTCTGAAGAGCAGCAATCATTGTTTAACTAGACTTGTAAGCAAATAAACTAATTTTAATTCATTAAACCTGGCCTGACCAAATGCCTGGCTGGTCAGCCTGTGACCACGTTCAGTGTTAACCTGAAAGTCAATTCTCGTGATAAAAATTCGTTTAAAATTTAGTTGCGGTCTAGAGTCGATCTCACAAATGTCATAAAAGGTATTCTCGTTGTAAACTAGTGTATTAAGACCGATTTAATACTTTACTACGAGAATAGCATTTATGACATTTGCGAGATCGAGAGTAGATTGGCACTGAATTTTGAATGAATTTTTGTTACGAGAATTAACCGTCTGTCTGCACCCACAGTGACAGTGTGATCTGATGAGTGTGACAGATATATATACGTATATACAAGAATTGCACGTTTAAAGGTGTTAGATATACCTAATATATCTTACCTTCGACGTAAGGATATTAATGTTTTCTTCTTACAGACAAAAATGATAAATATAATAAATCCAACTAGAACATTATAAGCGTCAGTAAACTGCCAGAAGTAGTTGGCTTCAGGGTACAAAGAACTGATGACTTCTAGTACCCAGTTTATACCGGTGACGATAAACAACTTGATGTACAGGGCGAACCTGAAACAAGATCATGTATTTATCTATACTAACTAGCGACCCTCCCCTGCATCGCACCGGTGTAGAGTAATTAATAATATTATTATTCAATATCATGATTATCACATCAACAGCCTTTAATATTCCACTGCTGGACATAGGGCTCTCCTTAAAAAGGCGGTTTTTGCCTAATATACCACGGTTGCCGGACGGGTTGGTATAGGGTTTGTGTCAAGTTTTCCTTCTCTTTGCAGTGCTGTACTGTTGTTCTGCGTAGTTTGCTGCCCGGGACGGATGTACGGCCCGACGGCCACTCTGCCCCCGCATTTTAATTCTCTGATATCTTCTAAGATATTAGTTTTATAATATACTGCAAAGGACAATTTTGATTTACATTGCATGCTCAACATATGTAATGTATTTAATTGGATAAGGAATAATACCGCATTCTTAAAATAGCTTTGTAAATGACCCATTATTTTTTTAGATCTTTTTAAGATATGCAATTCCGTTTATGTATTTTTGATCTATCTCGTAAGGCTAAGGGAGCGTTTATAACGTAAGCGTACAAAAACATGTTGCCACATTACAAATCATTGAAATTCTCTGATTTTCCATTATATGCATGTATTATACATTTAAGCCTTTCTCTTGAATCACTGTCTCTCTATTCTGGTTTAAGATATTTATTACTCAAAAGAATACAATTCACTTATATTGAGATTTACAAATTATGAACTTAAAAGTAAACTTATAATCTACGAGCGCATTTGACGGTGTCACCAAGCATTGTACAAAATCACATAATTTTAGAGATTTGTCTTAAAAAAAACATGGTTTTGTGCGCTTACATTGCAAACGCTGGCTAATCCTTACGAGGTAGACCAAAAAAATGTACTACAGAATTGTATACCTTAAAAAGATCTACAAAAAAGTCCGCGATGGTATATTTCTATCTCCTAAGGATAACCCATAGTAACCATTTTATCTTTTAAATATTACAAAACAGTACATTATTATTCCTTATCCAATTAAATAGGTTAGATACGTTGTGTATTTAATGTAGATTACATTTCACTCTTTACAGCATATCATTAAAATGAATATTGTAGAAGATATTAGGGTTTTAAAATGCGGGGTCAAAGCGGCCGTCGCCACTTTGGGTCTTAGTACGTTGCGGGTTGCAGCGGCCGGCAGGATCGGTGCGGTCCCGTAAATATTGCATAATAATATAAATATGTCCTGAGGTATAGTCCTATCATTATAATAGTATAATTAATTACTCCACACTGATACCACATTAGTAGTATCTACATTGCACCCGTGCAAAGCCGGGGACGATCGCTAGTTATTTATATATAACTAATTTAACTTTTGTTCTTACCGTTGTGAATCCTTATTTTTCCGCACACCTTGTGTCTGTTTCTTCAAGTGTGCTAATAATTTGGCTGTTAATATAAAGAATATCAAGTTCGCCATACAAGCCAACAATATTGGTGTATACAGATAAAGTAATTTGCTCGTTCCTGCAAGTAATAAAAATCAACTCATTACTGGAATTATTAATATTAACCGTAATCTCATGTTATAATTAACAAAAGTGGTATTTATGTCCCACTATTAAGAATAAATTTACTTTCTCATAACTGACCAATTCACCCAACTTCACTTACAATCTGTGTTGTTCGAAAAATGTTCCGGGAACACATCCCCCCCATTCTCTCACATTCTAATAAGTAATAGAATAATCAATAAGAATAAGTTAAATAGAATAATCAAGATGTCCTCACCAGATAGAAAGCATCCTTGTCGCCTTAGATGAGGCAGCAATTTAATATGAACAGGTAAATTAGAAAATTCCAGTGCTGCAAGCAGTATAGTCAACACTGTTGGCAATCCAAATGCGTAACAAGAATACGACAGGAACCGTAAACGCGCGGACGTTGCAAACCCATGTGCCATATTCTGACTAGACCTGTATAGACATATTTTTAGACCTTTATAAAAGTAATGTTTTGAGTATTTAATGGCAAATATAATAGAAGCTATTTCAATATAGGTTTAGGAAGAATAATCATTATCATAACCAGCTAAGCCTACTAAGACATAGGCCTCTACTAATGACTTCCAAGAAGACCGGTTAGAAGGGGCTTTCTACTATCGACCTCCGACTTTTAAAAATAAATCTTTTTTGGAAATAATGAGGACAGAGAATGGTATATATCGTTCAAGAACTATATCATATTTTAAATTTATTGTACTCAAACTTTAATTTAATACTGGTATTGGATGAGTAAATCATCAGTTTTAAGATACTTTTTGTTTCACTTACGTTTTGATCAAATTTCACTAACAGGCTGATACCCCGACTGACCGAAAAAGTCCTAGCAGGAACTTAAAAAGGAATAAAGTAAAGGGGTACCTACTAAGTTAGATTAGTTTTGTTGTTGTAAATTTGAGACCTACATAATCTAAGAGTACCAATATTTAATAAGATTGAAAATTTAATAATATTTACCTTAACTTTGACCAGAGATCATAACACATCACATTGAGCCAAAAGAAAGCTGCCAATATAGAAAAATATATTATAAAAGCTGAAACAAAAGAAAAACATATACAAAGCTACAATAAAATTAAATAATAGGTCTTTATCTATGAAATTGCCGTTTAGTATGCAAATAAGTGAAAGTACTTATTTTTTTTAACTTTTTTATTTCTGTTATTCGAAGTAATCACCCATGCAATCGACGCATCTTTGCCAACTCATTGGCAGTTTATTGATGCCCTTCTTGTAAAAATCAGCTGGACAGGAGGCAACAAACTCTTCAAAAGCATTTTGTACTGCCTCTCGGGAATTGAATTTTTTACCCACTAAAAAGTTGTCTAAATTTTGAAAAAAGTAATAGTCGGTAGGTGCAAGCTCTGGTGGTCACATCTGCAACCAGTTTTGGTCAATCGGTCGTCCCCACTGCCCCTTCACGATAACGCGCGACCCCATACTGCGCAACAGACAGTCTCCAAGCTGCAAGAGCTGGGGTTGGAAACTCTCCCTCATCCGCCATACTCACCAGACCTTGCACGTACCGAGTATTACTTTTTCCAAAATTTAGACAACTTTTTAGTGGGTAAAAAATTCAATTCCCGAGAGGCAGCAGACTTGTTTTTTTTTGTGGTTTTATGTTCTATATACTAACACAATCATCATTCATGAGGTACAATAGAGTCATAAGATACATTTCATCTAATCAGTAAAAAAGTACTATCTCCGGGAGATAAAGATCATATTAACGAACAGAATATCATGAGAAAATATGTAAACACATCACAAATCACACTTGATTACTGCATTCACGAGCATCTAATTCGATTTGAATAATTTTATGGAAATTGAAGGTCGTAAATACAGCTTTTAATTGTGTATTCTAGACTTATTCGTGTAACCGGTAAAACTGGTCTTTGTCTAAATGTACCTCCTGCTTTTGTTTTTTTGTTATAAAATCGTATTGGTATTTTATCTAAATACATATAGTGTTAGGGTTTCGACTGTTTATATGGTAAGACCTGTGCAATTAACACTGAATCTTTCAATCTTCTTATCCAAATAATACTTACTCATGCAGATGCAGTCAACGTATGAAATTTTGTCTATCAACAATAAGATTTGCATGGTGGCCATGAACAGGAAAGCCACAAACAAGTTCAAGAGATATGTTATCATCACCATTCCATTCAGAGTCCTTAGCCTAGGCAGGAAGACATACACAGCTACCGTCAAAATGATGAAGAAACAGGAGATCAGCATGCCTGAAATTTAATTTTAAAATGGTTTAAGGGTCGAGCTAACTGATAGTAGGTGACTGCGCCACCCTTGGACACGTTCAGCTTAACAGACACAAGTCCACCAGCCTTTGAGTGCCCCAGAAGTTAGCGTTGGGCCTCTGGGGAACCTCACTCACTCGGTGATATGCAATGAAGGCATTGATTAACACCGTTTTTTTCTGAGGTGTTAATAAATAATAATGTTCGCTTAAATACCCCCGGTGCCCCGGCTATACGATTTTTTCGAATTCGCCCAGCGTTTAGGCCAAAGTGAGAGCTAATTTCACATAAACTCCATCGTCACGGTGACCGCGTTCGGCGTTGTGATTGGTCGGCTCTGAAATCTCCGCCAATCACAACGCCAAACGCGCTTGCCGTCGATAGCGAGTTGATGTGAAATAAACTGACACTACAGCCTTAGTAGAGTGTACGTATGTATATACTTAGTATAGCAGTCTGAATTACTTACAGCTAGCACTTACACCGTAGTGGTTGCTTTCAACATTTGGGCTGTAGCATATTAAAGCATTCAACTTTACTGATGTGTTTGCATTCTCATCGCTGTCACCAACAAAGTTATCTAGACAGTATTTGTCGGCATTATATTCTTGGCTCGGCTCGTCTACCGACTCTTTGACATATAGTTTACCATCCTGAAAAGAAAGAGAACTATTAAAATAGTTTTCCTGGAAATAGTACCTACTTTACTTTTACTATTCCGTAACTCAAAAGATAAGAAAAGGAACCTTTATATTATCACTTTGTTGTCCGTCTGTCTGTCTGACAAGACCCTTTATCTCGGGAACGCGTAGTGCTATCGAGTTGAAATTAAAACCATATATATACTCAGGTCTAGTCTCTTGAAGCTGTTAAATAATCGAATTCCTAAGTTAACGTAAAAGATACGGCCGTTTATGCCGCAAAAAACGCATATTGAGATACTCTCGAAGGAATTAAAATTTTAGTTGACCTATTATATACAAGTACAGGAAAAAATCTGAAAACTATACATTTGTAAATAAATCATAAAAATATAGTCTTTATTTAAAGTACATAATCAATCATTGAGGTACAATTTTCTTATAAAACTCAAGAATATAAGTAATTATAGGTTTTGGAAACTAAAACTAAAAAAAACTAAATAAAACTCGCACTTGTCCGCATTTTTTTATATAAGTATGCAAGGGCAATATCGGATTTTTAACTGTATCAAGTATTTAACGGGCTCTCCTAACGCTACTAAACTATAAATAAGCATATTTATTCATATTCTTATTTGCAATAATTTCAGTTTGTACCGTGCTATATTCATAAGAAAAAAACGCACTTCTAGAGTTTTCGAGATTGATTTAGAGATGGCCTGGTGGTTTAACTTTCACCCTAATTCATTTACCACGAGAGGTAATCATATACTGGACCGTGTTATAGGTACACCTACATATGTATATTACAGACCTGTGTAGTGTGATGTAATTATTTTTGTTAATAGCTTTTCAGAAATCTCAATGGCACTCAGTGCTAACACTTTTCCTTAAAAAAATCAGTTTATTTATTTTATTGATAAATAATAATATGCCTACGTTATAAATAAACGATCATTTCTTGGAGACAGAAGAGGAAAATTCAAGTGTGGTCAGAAGTAATCTAATTCATATTAATGAGTTCTTATAGCATAGCAGCATAGGCATATTGTTTCTTGGTAAAATTAAAGGTTTATGACGTAAATTTTTATGAAAATAATAATAATAAAGTGTGTCAGTTACGTTCTCAAGCGATATTATAGAAACTAAAATAAACAAACTGTAGATACATTCAATGGTCAGTCTATGATGAAAACGTAAGAAAAAACCGCTCAGTAATTGTTTTGCCTTATTTATTTACTTAATACACTAGACAAAGCTAATATCGACCTTTCCAGTCTATTTTGAAGTTTTAAAACCGTTCTAAATTATAATTAACGTTAAAATATTCTTCTTAAATATATCTACAGTTGATTCCAGCAGTGTAAGAAAACTGTAAATTCAAATTCAAGCATTTAACGTTTAGCGATGGAGTGACACGCGTAAGTTATTCTTGTATATCTCGAGGATATTACTTCTCTATACAGTTGACAATGTTTATGTTAAATTTAAAAATCGATCGTAGTGGCGTGCAATTGAAGAAGCCTATGTCCAGCAGTGGACTGCGATAGGCTGATGATGATAATTATATTAAAGTCCAAATTGATAGGTTGAGTAGATAAGGTGTCCAATTGTAAGTGAAACATAAACCAACATCACAAAAACTCATACTGTGTCTGGCTAAAATAAACGCCCTTTCATACTTCACTGTATGTTTTTTTCGCGGCTTTTGTTTCTATCGCCAACATAAGTAAGGAATTTAAAAGGTAACTACGAGAAGACGAACTATAAACTACAAATAACAGACAAATTTTTATTCTAGAGACTTTTTCGTAACTTGATTATTTCTATAATGATAAATATATATGATGGTGCGAATTGGATCTAACAATTTAAATACTTATTTTGATCTAAATTCGGTCGGAATCGTTTCCAGTATTTCAATAATAATAGCACAGCAAACAGCAGAATGATATTCCTTTTAAATAGATTTTTTTAATTAAAGTATAATTTTTTTTTTTTTAGATTGTTTAGTTTTCATTACGTTGTTTAGATTACATTACATATTTTGAAACAAGTTTATCTTTTGACTAATGGTATTCCCCGAAACCACAAAAAATAATACGAAATAAGGAAATCAAGTTTTAGTACCTAGTTGTCCCCAAGTTTGTGATGAATATAATTGGTAGAGTGAATTGAAGGTAATTTAAGCAGAACTGTGTTAGACAGAAGCCAATTTTTAGGTGCTTTATATTGTAATCATATAAACATACATAAAAAAACATACTGATTAACGACTTTAAAAGCCATTTATTAATCAAAACAATTAGGCAAAATTAAACACATTTTATTCCAGTCATTAGTTATAAACTCCTATTTCCTATTTGATGTTTTTTTTTTCTGAACACACTGTAATAACGCCTTTTGCAATGGGATAAAAACAATTTCATTAATAGTTACAACGCGATTGATGTTCCCGGAACCTCCTAAAATTTTTGTTTCAATACTATGAGGCTGAACGACTATGTCGTACTAGTTGTATAAAATCCACGTACTTCTCTGCTGTTGAGCTCATCATAATCTTTTTAAAATATTTTGTATAATTGTATTTATAGTACTTAAATAATATTCTCGCTAATAATAACCTCTGTTTTATTTAAATGATCAATACAAGAGAATAAATAGCTATTTTTTCTTTCTTTATTAATATATTCTTAATATTTAGATCAATAATACTCTTCATATCGATGTTCTTAACTTTGTCTAAGTTAAGATTATCTTATTCTTATTTTAACTTAGACACTAAAAGGTACCGTTTCTGATGTAAAAATAAATAGAAATATTTTGAGTATAGCAAAAAAACATAAATAATTAGTAATACAAACACTTTTGAAGATATTACGGTTTTCATTGCCGTTTATTTAAGAGATAATTAGATATTTCTACTTACTAGTTTCATACAAATTTTTCGTAAAAAAAATCTAATTGTTTCGTCTTTGTGCAGAATTAACTCGTGTGTCATTTTTGTACATTATAATAACTAATAGAAGCGATATCCGGCAAAAAATACGGTATTTGCAAATTAAAATCTCTAAAGTCTCACAGTCGACATTTTAGACAACTGTTCGGCGTGTCGGCGTTTATGGTTAGGTTTCCATTTGGTCAATAATAGCTTTAAGCACGTCAAAATATCTTAAAACTTAAAAAAAAAGGTTGAATTAGAAATTGAAACTAAAAAAGAGTGTGTTTGTCGAATTTTAATCTTGTTTGACCTCTGTTTTGTTTTATTTTGTAAGCGGCATTCACTGGCTGGTTTAGTATTGTTCATAAGGACAAGGATAGAGATGTGAATCATATGCTAATTTACGTTAAATCAATAAATGAATGTCCTGCATAATATTTTTTTTTTTACTATGGAATAATTAATTTTGTTTTTTTGTGTATAGAGATAAGATAAGATAGAGTTTAGTCAAACGGAATCGGCAGTCAATCTTATTTTATCACCCAAAAATTTTCAGAGGAGCGGGTTTCTATTTGTATGGGATCAGTACGCTTATTATACTGAGCCCATAATAATATGTTTATGGGATTATATTTGACATTAGGTTATGTTATAATATAACAACACTTTATAATAAAAGTATGAAAAATATACTTAATGGATTTTAATGTGAAAGTGTAAAGACTTTTCTTGAATTTTCATCTAGAAAAGGGCATTTCAAGAGACCTAGCTTTTTAAAATAAATTTGAAGAGTACGTATTTTATAAACCCATTTTTTTGGCGCGCGAAGAAGACCACATGGAATATGAATGAGGTATGAGAAAACTACAACGATAAATGCGGTTTTTTGTTGGTCTTACTAACGATCGCTACGAACCATGGCCTCTTGCAAGACGCGGCATTATGCGAATGCCGAAGCTTGATAAACATAGGTACACAGTTTTTATATATAAGTAAGGCATTTATAATCACGCCAATCAAAAAAAATATTGTGAGACTAGTTCTAAACCTGTTTGTAGCATAATCGAGTAGAGCGGCAACTCATTTTATTTATCTGTACAATATTAATAAAGACAAAAAGTTTTTTTAACATTGATTCTTTGTTTAAATGCGCAAATGTCTGTAAATATCAGTCGGATTTGTTTTTTTTTCGTACCGAATGAATAGTATTTAATATTCATTAAGAAAGGTTATAGCTTTATAACATTATACTACGATTCTTAAAAGCAATGGAACTGCCATAATTTTTAAACATTACCATTGTTTTTATAACCTATTTATATGTTTACAACACAGCACTACCGTGTAGTTCTAGACACAAATAAATTTCCTTAAGCCATCCAAGGCCACATGCTAGCTCTAAGCCTTATATGTCTTATATAACACACTAATTCCTAAAAATGTAGAAGTTATTATGCATCGTAGTAAAATATTTAATACAAAATTACTTATAGTTTGTACTATTAGCAAAGGAATTAATAAACTGAAAAATATACAAAGGATGTACACAAGTATTCGTGTTTGTTGTTCATGCTGATTTACATTTTAAATTATAAGTTACTAGTACCTACTCTTGAGACCGTAACGTACGCGTACCGTAGCGTAAAGTTACATAGCTAATAACCTTTCTGAATGGAAACTCTATACAATACCTTGACTAGGAATTACAGAGATTAACGCAAACATAAAGGTTTAACATAAAGGTCAGTCAACTCATCTTTTTTATACGTAGATAAAAAAGAGATTCGCTTTCTCAACAGGTCCTTTTCTACATAAATCGACGAGGGTCATCAGTATTCAGTCATATATGAAACAAAGTATCACTTTTGGTAGATCAAAGAAAATATACAAAGAAGTCAAAATATAATCAAAATTCGTTTACCGCATACACTTAAGGACAAATCTCACCGTTTTCAAATGAAAATCATCAGTTAAACCACTCAGCAATATTCTGTATTCATTGTTAGCTTTTGAACACGTCATTTTGAAAAAGAATATGTAAAACTTTTCCAGAATATTAAACCCTGGCTTTTCCGCAAATCCTTCCCAAATTGGAGGATCAAACTTTCCTGATATATCAATACATATCTTTCTTTTCGCGTCGTACCCTTGACAGAGTGGACAGCATTTTCGAATACACGTTTCTTTCATACACACACAGCCTCTCTCAATTCCAGTGTCATTATCCACAAAATATTCACCATCATTATATAGAACATTGTTAAACGATCGATTTCTTAACTCCACACTACTGTCATAATCACAAATTTGCGAAACTGTTCTCGTCACTATCACAAATACAACAAATAATATTTTTTGCATTCTTATACTTAGTTGTGAATCACTTGTGTGCGTCCGTGGCAATGACGAACCACATCGGGACTGTTAATAACAAATCTAAGATTGAAGGAAATAATCTTAACATTATACATAGATAATAATAATCAATGCAATCTCAGATTTCTCTTTTGTTTACTCCAAGTATGATGACTGGTAGGATTTCCCAACCTCGAATTAATTATACGCGACTAATAATAACTGTATATCATTTAATTAACTTACTCTCTTAACTGATACAACAAGCTTTAAAGGTCAGATTCTTAACTCCAATAAATTAAAATTAAAACAAGTTTTGAACTTATTGAAACTCAAGACGAAGCTTTAAATTAACATTGTATCATTCATGTGTATTGCACATGAAGGTGTTTGGAGTATTGAGATTAGATCACATACACTACTCGTAAAAATATGGAGTAATTAAGTAGGTAATTTAGATATTAATAAGTCAAGATTAGTATTTAAGGATAACTTTTCTCGAGCGTCAGAGGAACAGGCATGCTACAGGCCCTTGATCGGCTTAAGAATTTTCTCCCCTCCGAGACGAAATCGATGCTTGTACAAACCCTCATTTTCCCTATCTTAGATTATGGTGAAATATGCTATTATGACCTGAATGCAGATTTACTCAATAAATATGACCGCCTTCTGAATAACTGCATTCGATTCGTCTTCAACCTTCGCAAATATGACTATGTTTCCTCCTCACCTCTATTCTATTCTCAACTCGCCCATTTCCCTCTGATACCTGGCGTTCCAACTACGATAGAATTTTCCTTTCCTCAAACAACCCTCTTCTGCTATGCCTCACTCATACTTCCGCTTGTGTCCACTCCTTGTTCCTAATCCAATCCGTACACCTCTGGCTCCGCTCTCCTTTAAAAAAATCAGAATTGCACCCAGCCCCCTCTCGTTCAAAATGAAAGTTCGGGCTCGCATTCTGGACACCCTAGCAGATTCATTACAACCTTAAAGTTTTATATATTATAAATATGTAGGTTTATGTATGCGTGTAACTAGGTCAGTATTTATGCATGTGTGTATGTATTTGGTACGTATGTATGTACGAGTATGTATATTCATCGCATTGTTTCTAACTTCTCAATAATTTTCTCTTACTTTACATAACAATATCTAGTGCACCTAGTCACACATTTCAGCACCACACTGGGAGAAAATGCCTTTTGCATTAAGTCCGCCATTGTACAACTCATACTTGTGCATAACGAAATAAAATTAACAAACATCTAGTCAAATGCTAAAGAAACAATGGTGAATAACCAAAGTGCCTCTCTTTCACACATCAGTAATTTGCATAAGTGTTTTTCTTAGAGTCAGATTTGAAATCGCATGCCGTTTTTGTTCGCTTATGGTGATGTTACCTTCATATATGATTATTTTCTGTTAAATTTGTATTTGATAACTCTAGGTATACTCGTATTGTGTACAAAAACTTTGTATTATTGCAGTTGAACAGAGTATATGTATAATTATGTATTATGGAACGCCATAGTTTATAAGTTAGTGATTGATCAGAAATCTCATTGAGAGAGGCTCATTACAGCTTTGTATGTTATTTTTTTGGGATATATTTCTTAATATAAAAATATAAATAATTAAAAAATAAAAAAAATAAGTAAAAATTGAACTTATACCTAGAGAATTTAATGACACAGTAGACGTCATAGGACAGTGCGCTGAGAATATTAAATTTATATAATAATAGTATCTTTGCGCTTTTCAAGACACTTTTTGCCTCGCACTACCAATCTGTGGAACAAGTTATCGGCTGCGGTATTTCCGGACCGATACGACCTTCAAGAAAAGAGCGAACTCCTTCCTTAAAGGCTGGCAACGCGCTTGTGACTCCTGAGTTGCAGGCGTTCATGGGCGGCGGTAGTTGCTTTCCATCAGGTGACCCATCTGCTCGTTTGCCCCCTATTCCAAAAAAAAAAATTATATATATATAAATGTTAAGTTGGTTTGTATACGCTTCAAAAACTTAAAAAGTTCTACGCCGATTGAGCTCAAATTTTGACATGATATACAACACGCTTCAGAGATTTCTATCTAATGACACAATGTGCCACAGCAAAGCGCGACAGGGAAAGTATAGCTAGTATAGCAAATAATAAGTATGAATTATATATTTGGACATTACTTGTCATTAATTATATTACCCGGGCATTATAAATAATGCAGTGTTTAAAAACTTCTCCATTTTTATTTCGATTGTAAAAAACACATCGTTATTCTTGAATCAGTTATTTATTTCATTACATTATACACTTTGTAATGTTTTATCACAATTTCGTAAAACACTACCTACTAATTAATAATATACATTTAATTAGTTTCTTGTACATTATATACTAAAGTTCGATTTAAAAATTAGTATAATTGAATAAATTTTAAACTACACGAGCCGCTTTCATCAACATCATCAACAGCCTATAATTCCATCCCACAAAACCTATCCCTTCCCATTTTCTATCCCATCCACACCTACTGCGGACACTAAGTGGTTGGTGCCTGCGGCCTCACTATCAACAAAGACTGAGAGTGAGGGGGAGGGGGGGCAACCACCCGCATGTTTGTGCCGTGTGCGGGGACCCGTAAGGGAGGATGAAGGGATCCTGGTAGTTGAGCTGAAAGGCAACACACTGCTTTGGCCTGGATTTCTCTTTACACGGGAGGCTGAAGGCTAGCCACCTTTGGTCAATCGGCTGTAGTATCCCGTCAGAGGGCTGCTGGGCGAGAGCTCTTCCTTGGTGGGGGTGGACGACGGGTGGGACGACCAAGTCTTCCTACCTAGTTCGGCCTGCCTTCTGCCAGGGAGGGAGCTCTATATTTCCTTGTCACTTCTGGCGTCGTGTGCCTTCTGCCGCGGCGTCCCCACTTGAGGGCTCCAAGGAGGGTGGAAGGACAAGGAGATGAATAGTATACCAAAAAAACTATGGATACTAAAAAACCAACCAATAAAAAAACCACCAAGCCGGTACCGAGGGTGAACAACCCAAGTGCCAGGCTAAACCACCAATCGGCTGACCCCAGGGTGAACAACCCAAGGGTGAATCCGGCAAATACACCATTGGCTGCTGCTCAGGCAAACAACCCGACCGCAGCGCCATCCACGACTCTGGCGACACCTCTGGTGTCTAACCAGAATACGGAGCCAGTGTCGACCATCGACCTCTCCTCTTTGAGGGCAGCAATGCCCGTACCTGCGGGACCCGGCCTGGAAGAAACCGGCTGGAGCCTGGTAAGGACAAAGAAGAGAGCGTCGAAAAAACCAAACCCGTCCAAGAAGACCCGTAACGCCAACAGGGCGAAAGCCCGAGTGGAAAGGCAAGCACGGTGTCTGACCTCGGGTGGAAGTAAGCGGCTTGAAGTCGCTGAAGGGCCCGAAGGGGCCCACGTTGCCCCCGCCAGTGACGTGCTGCCCCGAGGCGAAGACGAAAGTCAAGCCACGGGGAAGTGTACTCCTGTGGGGGCGCCACCTGCCAAGACGCCTGTAGCGGCCAAAGTACCCTCTAGGCAGGGTCAACCTGGACAGGGTAAACGGGCGAGACGAGCGACACGGGGAGGGAAACCTTCAAGTGATACAAAGCCCGTCAAAAGAACTCGCCCGGACGAGTCTCGCACTCCCCAGGGCAGTGGCAAGCGATTCAAACCGCTGCCAAAGACCGGCTCCACGAGTTACTCCGACGCACTAAAGGCGAATGACCTTTGCGTCGCGGTCATGCTGGAGCCTTACCACGACCTCACCAAGGCACAGGCAGAGGACATCGAGGGCCAGCTGCAGGGCGTGCTAGATGAGGAGATCTTCTCGCCCGGCACGTCAAGCGCACCCGTCGCTGCGCCACAGTTTAGGGGCAAGGCCTTCTACAGTGAGGGCGCCCTTAAGATGTGGTGCAACGACGAATATGCCCTACAGTGGCTTCGCCGATCCCTGGTAAGGATCCCATCACCACGTGAAGGCACCAAACTGGTCGTCAGGAGGCAGTCTGAGATCCCGAAAAGGATCAAGGCTGGACTCCTGGTACCACAAATCGGACCAGATGATACACTGGTCCGTATTCAAACGAGGCTAAAGTACCAGAATAGCCAGTACAATGTGGCCAACTGGGCCCTCTACCATGCCGAGGCGCAGGAGGAAAAGAAATGTCTCTTCCTAGTGCTCGGCATCCCAGAAGAGGACGTCGTGAAGCTCAAGGCTAGCGAGCGTAGAGTATACTACAAACTGGGTAACCTCTACGTTCGTTTCCTTGATGAACGTCCCGCCCCACCAACTAACCCAAACGAGGAGCCATTCGAGGGAGGAGGAGAATCGGCCCTACAACACCCTAAGGACGGCAATGGAGGGGATCCTCTGAGACCCGTTGAGGAGACAGCCTGCCGGGGTCCACCTACTGAGGAGTTGGAGGACCTACCGGTGGGCGAGAGTGACCTCGACGACATAGAGGATATGCTGAACAGCGATGATGGCGCTGTCTGCACCCCCCCATAACACCCTTATAGCCATCCAAACCAACCTCCAGCACAGCTATACAGCAACGGCTACCCTACGCAGAGAGCTGGAGGTAAAAACCAACACCGTAGCCCTAATCCAGGAGCCGTGGATTAGGAAGGGCAGGATCTGCGGT